TCCTAGGCAATGCCTAGAAATTGACCTAATAGGCAAGCCTTAACACAGCTAAAATTTGTGTGGGTAGTAGAAAAAAATACAAATTTTCAGAGTCAGACAGACCTGGCTTTGCCAGTTAACTAGTAACATGGCATGGACAAGTAATTTAACCTTTCTGGACCTCCGTTTCCTCATCTCTGAAATTGGGAGAATGACATTTTACTTTAACAAAATATTTTGTTATAAGATTTAACTATAATATAGGTAATTTTCCCAACATTACATGTATCATATTGTATGCCACCAACAAGTATTATTTGAAGAAACTATTATTACTTTGTTTTCTAATATCCACAACAACAGTGATTACTTATTTGAAAAAAAATTTTTAACATTTTTATTTATTTTGAGAGACAGAGCAGGAGCAGGGGAGGAACAGAGAGAAAGGGAGACACAGAATCTGAAGCAGGCTGTCAGCACAGAGCCTGATGCGGGGCTCAAACTCATGAACCATGAGATCATGACCTGAGCCGAAGTTGGATGCTCAACTGACTGAGTCACCCAGATGCCCCACGACGACATTGATTATTAATGCCCTATTGATTTAGAAAAAGCTCTTTGCAAGAGAAAAATCAACAACAACAACAATTTAAAACCCAGGAAGACCTCATTATCACATTAGGTAAATCTGTCCAATGCAAAAAAATGAAAAAAATTACTTTTAGAGTTGAGAAAAACACTATTTTCCAGGGCTGCTCACTCCATATGTCATCAATAAATAATCTTTGGGATTATTGCTCCACTATCTGTAAATGTGAGATGCTTTATTCTCTGGGTTATCATGATGGCCCATTTAAAATGTTATAACTTTGTTGTAAGCACTGGGCTTATTTCCTTGGTACGTACTATCTGGGTTGGTTTGTGATAGAATCAACTTTGACAGTGATGACAGTGCGACTATGAGAGAGTATGATGATAAAGAGTAAGTGATTGGAGGAAATAAGGTAGAAAGAGAAATTCAAAGAGCTGAGAGGTAATGTTGAAAACAATGAGAAGGAAAATTAAAGTTAAAAGAATACCAATGCAGAAATAAGCAAAGGACACCAAATATGAAGAGTGAATGAGAAGAAACAGTAATGTATCTTGTTATTTATGACCTTTTTGAAGATAACAGGTAATGAGGGCATTGGTGTATGTACATGGTGGGGCAGAGATACAGAAATCCCTACTGGGAAGGGAGAGGACATGGGAAAGGTGGCTGAGGCTATAGTGGCCCAGAATGCAGTGTCCTGGGTCAAGTCAAAGGGTGAGAGACAAATTATTTCTTTATTATTTCACTTCCAATAGTATCTGTCTTCTTCTTCACCATTTAAAGCAAAGCTAGGTAAAATAGGAGAAGGGATACACGTCCCTGTGTGGAAACTACCTAGCAAATGCCAGCCATGCTTTAGCTCTGAGTTATGAAAACCACATGTGACTGGACTATAACAGCATTAACTCAGAAGTGCCTGCTCCATAAAGAATAAACTTGCCATATAAGTTGTTCCAGAAAAGTTAGATAATTTCAGAAACGTGGCATGAATGATGTCACCCACAGAACAAGGAACACTAAACTCTCAAAACAAACTCCAGAAGAGAAACATCAGCCTTCTCAATGGAAGTAATGGGAAATAGCCCAATAATTCTGGTTTCTTTCTTCTGTGCTTTACAACATCTGTTGCATATTTTTTCCTCTTGATAAACCTCAGACCTTCTAGCAGATGACCTTGTCTCCTTCTTTTTAGAGTAAATAGAAGTGATTAGACAGAAACTTCCTTGATTTCCTGCTATCAAAAGGACAAATCTACCTATATCTCTACCCATTTTCCCCTCTTTCCTGCTGTTACAATGAAAAAGCTGACCTGCGACATTATCCAAGGTAAATCCCTCCACCAGTGCATGGCTCCATCATTTCTGTCCTCTCTGGATCATTGTTATGTAGGTTAAAATTTTTATCTCCTGTTCCTTAAATTTTCCTCTCCAGCTGATTTTTAGCACTTAAATATGCTCAGGTGTCAAATCAGAAGTCTGTAATAGGTATCCAGAAGCTAACTCAACATTTCCCTTTGGACATCTCAGACAGCTCTAACTCAACACATCTGAAAGTGAACTCATCATTTGTCCACCATGAACTTCTACTCCTTCCCCTTCCCCTCAGTGTCCTAATCTCAAGGGAATGGCTCCATAACCCAACCAAATGTTTAGCTAGAAACCTGAGAATTATCCCTGATTCCTCCTTTCTGCTCATTCCCCAAAGGCATTGGATCAGCAATTCTTGTTGTGTCTATCTTCAAATTATATTCTGTAACCAACCACCCCTCTCCATCTCTATTGTCGCACACTGGTTTAGATAACAATCATCTCTCGCCTAGATGGTTATAATTGCCTCCTAACTGGTTTCCACATCATCAGTGTATGTCTCTTCTAATCTCTTTTCCACAGTGCAGCTGGAGGGATCTTTTAAAAAATCTAGGGGCAACTAGGTGGCTCAGTTGGATGAGTGTCCGACTTCAGGTCGGGTCATGATCTCATAGTTCATGGGTGTCAGCCCCACATTGGGTTCCGTGCTGACACTCGGAGCCTAGAGCCTGCTTTGGATTCTGTATCTTTGTCTCTCTCTGCCCCTCTCCTGCTGGTGCTCTTTCTCTCTCTCATCTCTCTCTCAAAACTAAATAAACAATAAACAAAAAAAATTTTTTTTTAAATCTAGATAGGATCACAGTGCTCTCTTATTCACCTTTGAAACAATGGTTTCACATTGCCTTTCAGATAAAGCTCATTCTCCTTCACATAACTTACAAATACTGTTCATAAGCTACTCCTATGGACTTCTTAGTCTCATGTCTTGACATATTCAATACTTCAGTCATTCTAAATTCTTTAAACTTTTCATAATTGGAATAGTCCCATCCACTCTTTGCCTAGCTAAAACTCCTTTGGCTCCTATACTAAAGTAGTGCCCCTCCCCTTCGTGGGATACTTTATTGTAATTGTTTAATTCTTTGCTAGAGTATAGGATAAGAATTATGTCTTTCTCACTCATCCATTTATCCTTTTCTCTGCTTGCCCCTAATCTTGTATACCAACCACTCCAGTACCTTACGTAGTATCTGGTGTCTAATAAATCCCCAGTAAATATTTGTCAAATAAATTCATTATATTTCAGGGTTTTGTTATCACTCCTCTTACTGAACTTAATAGTCTTGATTCTCCTATGGAGTCTCAGAGAATACAATCACAGCACCTTTTGAATACCGTGTCTGTGGTGAGAAAGGGAGATTCAGCTTGAATGTGGCCAGGATTGAAGGCTGGGATGAGTTAGTTCTTAATCCTGAAGGTTTAGAACTTTCTAATAATTACAACTCATTTTCTCTAAGGTTTTAGGCATTTAGAGAAACTTCCTTATTTCCATATCAAGGTCCTATAAAAGCCAAGACATATTTGTGGTCATTTCTATATAAAGACAATATCTGCCATTAGGAGGGAAGAGTCTTTAAGGTTTTTTGTTAGTTTTTTATTGCATTAGAGATAATGCTATAGACAAGACTATCTTTGGAAGTTCTAACATGGCCAACATCATTTCAAAACTATTTATGAAATTTTTACCAGATATAATATTTCACCTTATAAATCCTGCAATCCTGGAGCCAGGAGCAACCTTTGTTGTCATTTTGGCATGCTTCCTAGACACCTTCTGGGAATGAAGCCTACAACATCTCTGACAGTCATTACTTTACTTTGGCCCAAGAACTTTTGGGAATAGGATTCCATTGCTGATGAGGCCACCTGCCCCACTCCTAGAAGCGCTGGTGTCACAATGTCTTTTCTCCTATTTCCTTTTTTCTTCTCTAACTTAACATCTCTCATCCTGTCACTTCAATCATATTGGTCCTGTACTTCAGCTACGTCCTCAACTTAAAGACCTTTAACTATTGGAAGGGAAGAGGTAGTGTGGGCAGAGGGAAACACATTCCCTGAGCACCCGGTGTTTTACAGGACATTCGGTGGGTATATTTTCCATTACTTCTGTAACTCCTTCTACAGTCCAGTAAAGTAAGCAGCAATATTGGCATTTTACTCAGAGGTGAGTAAAACTACCCCACTTTTGCTTATCTAACATTGAAGTCCAATTTTTAAAGACCCTAAAGGTTCTGAGTCAAGAGGCTGAGGTGCTAATTTATGTCTGTTAATGGCTAGCTGCGTGGAGTTGGCTCCTTTTTACTATTTCTAAAACTGGGAGCATAGTTCTTATTGTCCTAGGCAACCTCACAAAGATTTGTTGAAGATAGAGGCTTTCATGTAAATGAAAGCCTTTTTGCTGCATGCATACATCATAGCCTTTGGAATCACACCCAACAGAACTCTGTTGCCTTTTTGAAGTGAGAACTTGTCTCATAGAAGTAATTCAAGCCCTGGGGAAATTTTGGCTTTATTGTGTCCTTTTCAAACTTGTGAGAAAGTGTGTATTCTGGGGAGCAATAATTTTCATTGCCGGCAGAGAGTACCTATCAACACTAAAGCAAGTCCCAAACCATTGGGAGACTAAACAACCTGGACTAAAATAACATTGACATTCACATTGAGACAGTCAGGAATGATTTAGAGCCAGAGCTTGATGATCACCACAACAAACTGTTTTAGAGATTTACTAACATTCCAAGGTCAGTGTTGGAAATTCTTAATGAGTACTCCAATGATAGAAGTGTATTTGGACTAAATTAGTATTTTACATTATGTGTATAAATTTTGGGTTTTGCCACATTTGCAGGACTTTAATAGGCTGAATTTTTTCAAAGAAGCTACTTGATTTAAAACATACCATGTCACCAAATAAATATTTTGAATATTTTTAATTGACTTTGAGATAGATCTGAAAAACCACCTATAACTCAAAGCTTTTGGAAATGCTTTAACACAACGTGGATTCTTTGGGTTTCTATTATTTAACTCTATCTGTGGATTTCTTTATGTTCTATTATCAGGTTCTGCAAAGTGCTTATTATTCAAGTTGGATAAACCAGTTTTGCAGACTGCATCCTCAGTGCATTTTCCAATAATGACAACTACCCTTAACATTCTTGCAGACCTGGATGCCTATCTGTGTGAAACCAGTAGGTAAGTATTTATTTAAACTATTGGAGATTACAGACAAAACTTGCCAAAATAAATATGCCTAGAAAAACTAAAAGGAACATGCTATGGTATTAACAAGAGTTATCTTTAGGTGATGAGATTGTGGGCAACTTTTTTTCCTTCTTTTTCCTTCCTGTCCTATTTTCAATGACGAATATATGTTGTTTTTATAATATAGAAGCTCTACTTTTAAAAAAGCAGTTGCAGACACACTAATAGTCACACATATGAAATGAGATCTCAGGTACATGTGCAGGTGACAGAATGCTAAGCAGGGACACAGACACATCTCCTGATTGCAGAAACAGATTGTAATTGGAGAGCCTGGCCTGCCTGTGCTGGCTTCCTTGCAGATCACAAATATAATTCCAAACACAATGACAGGACTTTGGTACCATGTCATTTCTTTCTAATTCCTTATGGAGGGGTAATACCTTCCTCAAGTAGATCAGCTAAATGGGATGACTGGGTAGCTCAGTTGGTTAAGTATCCCACTTCAGCTCAGGTCATGATCTTGCAATCTGAGAGTTTGAGCCCTGTGTCAGGCTCTGTGCTGACCCTTCAGAGCCTGGAGCCTGTTGCTGATTCTGTGTCTCCCTCTCTCTCTCTGCCCCTCTACTGCTCATGCTCTCTCTCTCTCTCTCTCTCTCTCTCAAAAATAAATAAGCATTAAAAAAATTAAAAAGAAAAATCAGATCAGTTAAATAATTTTAGATTTGATCCGAGAAACTTGTTTAGTTAATCTAGGCTATTTGGTTCTAAGCAATATATTTACCATTCAGTAATAAGAGTTAACAAGATAAAAAGTGTTTGCATATACATGAAGGGCAATCAAACTTGTCATTTGTCCAGTCTTGACTTTTAATGGGTTGGACAGAATTTATATTAGGGAAATAAGAGAAATATTGCCCCCAGAATGTTCTGGAAGAGATACCAAGTTCTTATTATGAATACAGACATATCCTATTAAGTCTAGAAAGTTGGCAGGAACCTGTATGCCAAGGAGTTCATTAAAAGCTTATTTACAGTACTAAAACAAACTAAAAATATTATAGTACATATTCAACAAGTATATACATTTTGAAGGATAAACTTTACAACTTTTATTTTATTCATTTCTTCATCCATCTATCCACTCATTCATTAATTCATCAAATGCTTTTTTTAGCCTCTTTTTGATGAGAGACAAAATCTTAGGAGTTGGGGAGTACACCAGAGGACAAACACAAAAATCCTACATTCATAGAGCTTATGTTTATAGTGCTAGAAGGATTTAAAAACAAATAAACAAGTAAAATATATAGTACGTCAGATGGGGCTAAGTGTTATGAAGAAAAATAAATCTGGGAGGTGAGGTAGGGCATGCCAAGTGGGAGGTGGGTGTGGGGAGAGAGGACTTGTTGTTTTAAATAGTGTGGTCAGGAAAGGCCTCACCAATAAGCTAACTTGGTTAAGAGATGTAAAAGAATTGCTTCCAGACATCTTTAATATTTCCCTTTCACAAATCATTTGAGCAGCAGAGGTGGGAGAGCATTGATCCAGCATTTCTGTTATTTTTACTGCACAAGTGAAATAATCCTACCTTTTAGGCTCTAAGTGTAGCACTGTCAGCACAAGAATATGGTTTTTACACAGAAATAATACATGGTAAAAAATTTTCTTTGGAGTTATATACCTAGTGTGCAGACTCACTCAAATGTCACTCTTTGGTGGTCCCATTGAACTAACACAACCATACACATGGACATTAGCTTTCCCCCCCCCCTATTCATTCATGTGTCTGCTTTCTGAAGTTGACTTTGAGCCTACTGAAGGCAGGGATGGGACGGACGATGATTTGTTCATCTTGGCAGCCTCAATGCTCAGGCCAGTGCCTGGCATTTGTCGGGTGCTTGATAATTACCAGTTGAGTAAAAGTTTTTGCAAGTAGAAAAGACACTGACTTCAAACAGTTTAAGAGATTAATTCCCAGTGGCCCCACTTACCTATTAAACTGCCCAAAGTGGGTAACTGTCTTACATAATGGTGACCTTTCACCCTCTCTAAGCCCTGTTTGGAGTTGGCATCAAGGACTCTAAAATAAAATGATGGTGCCTCCAACAGCAATGCTTTCAGTATAAGGGACCCTAAGAGGTAGTTTCCAGTCTCATTTCCTATAGGACACTGATGTAAAATGAGAAAGCTGTCATCCCACATTTTTTCTACCTATGTGACAGATCACTTGGCTCTGTCATCTTTCTGATATGGTGTGGAGCAGTGATATTCCTCATACTGGATTAGGGGGCAAAACCATGACAATGTATGCTATCTATACTTGGGAGAGCAATGAAAGAGGAAAAAGGAAACTAAAAGCTTTATTTTATAATGGAATCCAGATTCTAGGCCTTCATAATTGTGTAGTTTTAGACCAGTTGCTGAATCTCTGCAAATCCCATGACCTCATCTATAAATTGGGAATAATAATTACTACTGTTATGAAGCATTGCTATGAGATATTGTTGTGTTGGTCATAACAGTATTATTAGGAAGGTCATGTTGGATAATATGTATAAAGTGGTTTGGTGCTTGGTATATAATATGGATGTTCAATAGACTATTGTTCATACTTTTATTACTACTCCCACTAGTACTAATGTTACTATTAGAGAAATCAGGCAAATAAAATTTTTTCAATCAACTGTTGAATGTTTATATGATCATTGAGGATAATGCTCATTAATATATTTGTATTTTATAGCTTACTTCCTTCGGGGTGCCTGGGTAGCTCAGTCAGTTAAGCGTCAGACTTTTGATTTCAACTCAGGTCTTAATCTCACAGTTTGTGAGATGGAGCCCCACATCAGGCTCTGCAGACTGCTCAGATCTTGCTTGGGGTTCTCTCTCTCCCTCTTTCTGTGCTCCTCCCCCACTCATGCACATGCTCTCTCTTTCTTTCTTTCAAAATAATATAAACTTTTTAAAAAATTTACCTCCTTCTATACGCTTATAATATTATTAAACCAAGTAACATTTATAATATTCTTGAATGTCGCTCTTATCACTTAAGAATATGAAGAAAATTGGGGCACCTGGGTGGGTCAGTCAGTTAAGTGTCCAACTCTTGGTTTTGGCTTAGGTCATCATTTCACAGTCTGTGAGTTGGAGCCCCACATCAGGCTCTGTGCTGATGCCTGCTTGGGATTTTCTTTCCCTATCTCTCTGCCCCTCCCCTAATCACTTGTATTATCTTTCTCTCAAAATGAATAAAAACTTAAAAAAAAAAAGAATATGAAGAAAGCTAATATATTGTATCAAGAAAATGTCGGCTGCAAAATGGGCTGGTATTTAACGGAACATTTCTGTGTTTCTGGGCACCTGCATATTAAGGAACAGGTTAGCAGGCATTTTGCCATCATAGTGGTTAACATATTATTTCTGCCACTCTGATACCTTTCTTGTAGAAAAATAGAGTCAATGGAAGTCATTATCTTTTTAGTTAGGAAAGTAATGCCATAACAAGATCTGCATTCTAGTCTAATAACTTTCTTTTCTTGTTTCTTAGAGTCTTGAAGTATAACTAAGGACAGATACCAGTACTAGCACAAACATTACCAAGGTGCATGATTATGGAGATGGTCTATCTGTTGCTGAAAATGTATCTAGTTTTTTGACAACGGCTTAATAACCATGGGGTCAAGTGGACTTGGAAAAGCAGCAACATTAGACGAACTGCTGAGCACTTGCATTGAGATGTTTGGTATGAGCCTTTTTTCCCTTTGTATATCTTAATACTATCTTGTCCCCCTTTTCACATACAAGTGTTGCTGTGGAATAGAATTCAATCTCCATCTCTGGTATTTAAGTCCTTTTTGGTTGACCCCAACCTGTCTCCCCAAGTAGCACTGTCCTCTCTGCATTTTATTCCCTTTACTTCTCACAGCTAATATGCCAGCCACACGGTCCACCTAATGTTTCTAGGACATCCCCACATCTGTCTATCTATGCCTTTATTACACTAGTTCACTAAAATTGTGCTTCAGGGCCCATCTCACATGCCATGTCAGGTGTTCATATTACCATCCCTAATCCCCACTGTCAGCAGTGCAGATTGCTTCCTCCCACAGCCCTTTGTGACTTTCTTATGGTATGTGGTATATGGGACTGTGATCATTCCTCAGTCTTCTGTCTCAGACAAGCATGGGTAGCACAATCTGCTGCATTCTGTATTTGCATATATGTCTTGTACCTTTTACTAAGCTACATGCTTTTTATGTTGTTTATGTATCCGCCTCGGCATTTCAGAATGTTCTTTGTGCAAATAGAATCACAAAGGAGTTGTTTTTTAATTTTTTAAAATTGATTGTTATAGCAAGTGTTAGATCAGAGTAGGGTGACCAGATAAAATACAGGAAGATCAGTTAAATTTGAATTTCAAGTAAGGTACATTTTTAGTGTAAGTGTGTCCTAAATAATGCATGGGATATACTTATGCTAAAAAATTATTTGTGGTTTACCTTAGTTGAGATGAACTAAGTGTCCTGTATTTCTATTTGCTAAATCTGGCAATCTAACACTAGAGATTGAGACCTACCTATTCACTTAACTTGCAAGGAAGACCCAAACAATAATTGGGGCTACAAGACATTTTTGACACTGATGTTTCTATACTGATATTAGAAAAAGAGAAGAAAGGTACTGTTGTCTCCTCACCTCTCACTGTATTTTATTTTTTAACAGATGACAATGGAGAGCTGAACAATAGTTATTTGCCAAGAATAGTTCTACTGATGCACCGATGGTATTTATCTTCCACTGAATTGGCAGAAAAACTTCTCTGCATATATCCTTTCAACTACTGTGTAATTTTTACAGTCATAAATCAAGTTCTGTATTTAAATAGAGTGTCTAACAAAAGCTGGTAAATTAAGATGAATAAACAGTCTTTAGTCAGTTATCCAGCTGTTTTCTGGGTATATATAGATGTCTATGCAAGACATCTGCATGATGGACCCAAGAGTTAACTATCCATCTGGATGTTTTGGCTGTACTTGAAAATAATCACTAGATATAAAATGAAATGGAAGCTGTAGGCTGAATATTTCTAACTTGACTTGAACATTTGCTGTTAACATAATGAAAGAATTCAAGACCTAATTTAATCCTTTAAGGATGGCAAAATGATGGACATAGAGGATATGGTTTAGACATGTGGAAATGCCAGCCGAAATAATAGGTCTGGCTCAGGCACAAATGCCACATAAGTTTTTACATTTTCCCTGGTTGATAAGACACAAAGAACATTCTAGCAGGTTTATTACAATTGGTTGGTTGATATAAATTTCAGGTTGACTTCTGTTACAAAAGCAAAAAAAACCAAACACACAAAAACACCAGAAACTCCATTCTAGTAAGGAGTTTTAGCAATCTAACACTTTAGTACATAATGCAATCCTGAAAGGTGATTGAAAGCCAAATGACACAGAATGACAAAATAGTCTCACATTTATAAGGAGGTTTTATTCCTGGAGATCTAATGTTTATTATCAGCCTGCTTCCATCCCAAGGGGACCTTCTACATGACTGGGAAGCCTTCCTGGGTAGGAACCTGATAGGCAGAGGGTCTGTCAAGTGTTAGGGCCATGTGGGCTTCCGTCTGCTCATGGCAAGCTTCCTCCACTTTCTACTTTTCCCCTCCATCCATCCCACAACCTCAGGATAGAAGGGGGTGTCAGAGAGGGTAAGGGGACATTTACCCTGAGCAGAGGTCCTTGAAAATGAACAAGATCACAGTCCCCAGGGTGGTCTGAGAGTCTCCAGGTCTCAATATTGAGGTGTAGTAGTGCGTAGGTTACAATTATTCAGTGTTGATATCATCAGAGCTCGTTCTCTCCTCATTTGAAGATCCATATAACCCAAATATCCCTGGTATGGCCTTCTTATTAGGAATTCATCTAAATTGGTCAAACAACTGCAGGTGTGGGCAAAGGAAACAAGGTACAGGGATTTTTTTTTTCTTTAACTAGTGTACGTATCGAGATGCGATTGGAGAAAACTGTGATGAATTTCGGTTAAAGATCTGCTACTTCATGAGGTAAATATACATGTAATTGTCTTCTAGTTTATGGTTCTGGAATTGCTGACAATTTCTTTTTCCCTAAGCAGCAGACCTAGTTTGGCAATAGAATAGCCTCAGATCCCTCTTGTACTGATTTTGTTTAAATTGACCCTCCCCTGTTCCTCGGAGTCAAATTTCTCTCTCTTCTACTGATCAAGCAGTAGCAAATGTGATTATGGAAAGAAACTAGCTCTTAGGAAGAGTAAATTCATTTCTATTTCCTCACCGTATATTTTCCCGTGTAGTTGCCATAGAATTGGGAGAAGAGTTTCCTCTCAGCTGTGGTTCAACATTTAGATGAGAGTAAAGACACTCAGGACTTAGAGTCAGAAAGAGAGATTCAAAGGCAGAGTGGTAGACTTGGGTCCTTGACTGAAGGAGGGAAGAGTGAGACCTAGTGTCATGGGATGGGGAATAGGAGATTGCAGATTTGGGGTATGGTCCTGGGTTCATGGTTAAATGTAATCTGTAAAATGATCCAACAGTTTCCATAAAGGTCTAGCTTGAAGTCGTCTCATTTTCAAAAATATTTGATGCCTTTCAGGTACTGGATTCTCAAGTTTCCTGCAGAGTTTAATTTGGACCTTGGTTTGATCCGTATGACTGAAGAATTCCGGGAAGTAGCTAGTCAACTAGGGTATGAAAAACACATCAGCCTCATCGACATATCCAGCATGTAAGAGTGGCACAAGCTTCTTTCAAACATGATGAGTCTATTGTCTGGGGGAGGGAGTAGTTGTTGCCCCACTTGACCTCAGTCCATACTATTTCAGAATCAGTGTGTGCTCTTGTAAAGAAAGCCTTGCTGCAAAATAAGCACAGCCTCACTAGACATAGTTCATCTCTCCAAGCTTCAGTTTCTTTATTTATAAAATGGGGATAGTACCTTGGTGATGGGGTGACTATGAGCATCCAATAAATGCATAGTAAGATCGCATTTGGCATGTAATAGGTGCTGAGTACTTAGTTACTAAATCTAGTTCCTGTCTCCTAAGTCCTTGTCACTCATATTGTGGTCTATAGATCAGAAGCATTGGCATCACATGGGAGCTCAGTAGAAATTCAGAATCTCAGGCCCCACCCTAAACCTGCTGAATTGGAAAGTGCATTTTAATAAGAGAGCCCTAGCTGATTCATGTGCACATTCAAGTTAGAGAAGCCATGTGCTTCTGAGATAAGCCTGAGGCTTTACAAATGTTGACCATCATTTTGTCATGAACTGGTTAGCTCATTTATTCGGGACTCAGTGCTAATTAGACTAGCATTTTATATCTACTAATTAACTTTGTACAGAGAAAGTTATTTAATGGCCCTGAGTATGGTTATCCATCTTGCAAATATACACTCTTGTGTCCTGGGCATTCATACTCTAGTCCATTTTCCTAGAATACTTCTTTTTTTAAAAATGTGTTTTACTTATTTCTGAGAGAGAGAGACAGCACAAGCAGGGGAGGGTCAGAGAGAGAGGGAGACACAGAATCTGAAACAAGCTTCAGGCTCTGAGTTAACTGTCAGCACAGAGCCCGACGCAGGGCTTGAACCCACGAACTGCAAGATCATGACCTGAGCCGAAGCCAGACGCTTAACCGACTGAGCCACCCAGGCACCCCGAATACTTCTTTAAGAGTCTTGATCAACAATGCAGGATCCAGGAATCATTAGGGATGTTGTTAGAAATACAGATTATTAAGGCTTATTCCTAGTAAATCAGAATCTCTGGCAGTGAGGTCAGTCCTCTGTCTTTATAATGAACTTTTCAGATAATCCATATGTTGCTGAAGTATAAGAACCCAACTTCTGGTGGTTTTCATTTGCCTTAAATCACCATCAATATATTGATAATCTGCCAGATTTATATACCTAACCCTGACCTCTCCCCTATGATCCAAACCTTACTGGTCATAAGAAAGAGCAAGTAAGAAATTCTGGATGGATCAGTGCAAACCCACCCTGTCTGGAAAAACAACTCAAAGTTTATGTTCTATTGGCAGTGGGTCAGTGGTTTTCTCTTCAAATATGAAGGACAGGGTGTGTATTTTGCACAAGCTCCTGGAAACAAGCCAAGAGTTACAGAGTCAGTAGGTTAATAACTTCCATTGAGTGAAATGGCCTTTCAGCACATTGACCAGACTTACTGTTTCTTTTATAGTCCTTCCTATGACTGGATGAGAAGAGTCACACAGAGGAAAAAAGTATCCAAGAAGGGAAAAGCTTGTCTGCTGTTTGACCATCTGGAGCCCATTGAATTGGCTGAGCACCTCACTTTTCTGGAGCATAAATCTTTTAGAAGGATCTCAGTAAGAAACTGACATTTATTCTTCCAAGGATAACAACAACCATGCCAACTTTCCCAAGAGCTGTGTTTCCATATTGGCAGCCTCTGTCATTGTGCTCCACTGGAAAGTTGCCCTTAATTCACAGGAACAATCCCTTTTAACCAAAGATAAATATTATCCTGCCTTTATTTTATGGCTTAGGAGCTATATATCTGTCGCTATTTTCAATGTCTCCTTTCATACGATTAAAGCATGATTTTCTAAATACTCAGTAGAGATTTAACCATTCAAGGTTTATTTAGCTCCATTGACTTCTCCCAAGTGAACATGTTTTGCTAGGCCCTCCTTCTGAGGGAAGAAATATTTATTTAGCTTGGGATTTGTATAAATGCCTAATTATAGGCGTATGTTGAGAATAAGAAGTTAGGCTCTGATGAGACTCTCACATCAGGTTGTTTATTTCCAGGAATGGAGATCCTGAATTAAACTTTCCTTTGCTACTCTGTCTTAATAGTGTTCCTTCACCTTCTTTCTCTTCTTCCAGACTGTGGTCTCTTCCTAGCCAACTACTCACTATTCACTTGTTATGATAATATTTCCACAATGGGTCACAATCAGCCTTCGTCTCACAAAGCTCTGGGGGCAGTCATTCCTCCTTCTTTTCCAAGGGATGAGGGAATTAATTACATTATTACTTGCAAAGAAGAAAATGAAGTTCGAAGTATGGATTTCTGAAAGACTGATTCTTTTCACTAAATAATCCTACTTGGAGAGGACCTTAATGACTCCCCCGCCCCCCACTAGCAGACCATGAGAGGGAATCCCCCTCATTGTTTATATGATAGAAGGCTCACATATATTTAATGATATCCATGCTGACTTCCCCAAAAGGTGTCTGTTTTGCTAAAGAGCTACCTTACTTCAATTTCTGTTTTCTTCTTTTTCTTCTTAGAAAATTATTCTGACTTGAAATCATTATATTTACATTCATTTCCTTTTCTTTAATGTATGCCATTGTATCTCAAACTTGCCTGACCATTGGAGTCATAAGTATTGGGTGAAAAAATGAAGACTATTAGATTCTTCCTCTGGAGGTATTGATCCTTTAGTTCTGGAGTGTTCCCAGAAACTAATATGTTATAATGCAAATGCCTCAGGTGGATCTTATGATCCAGCAAATTTGGGACTCACTGGAATGTGACTTAGATTCTTGTCCCTCCCCACCCTGCCCAACACTGTGATGTGTAAGCATGTTTCTGTGTATGGGAGAGTGAAACAGAGAAAAATAATAGGTTAAGGGTACGTGTACATTCAAATGTGTAAGATGCCATCATAAATGTGAAATGAAAGAAATCATTAAGTTGTTATGAAACAATATCTCACATCTTCCACACAATATTCTAATTTCTGATTTTGTGAAGACCTCATTATAATTCAGAGTCTCTGAATCTTCCTTTACTAGTTCACTGATTACCAAAGCTATGTCATCCATGGCTGCCTAGAGAATAACCCAACCTTGGAGAGATCTATTGCCTTATTTAATGGAATCTCTAAGTGGGTCCAGTTGATGGTTCTTAGCAAACCAACCCCCCAGCAAAGGGCAGAAGTCATTACAAAGTTTATCAATGTTGCCAAGGTATGTATGTCTGGGCATTAGTCTGGGGTTCTTAAAGGATTCTAGATGTTTGTTCACTCTAGAGAAGAGTCATTAAAGAAATTTGGGGTTCACACTATAAAGAACATTTGAAGTATTCATAATATGTGGTGGTGAACATCACACTTCTCTCATGTAAGGAGATTGCTTTTAATTGGCAATACTTAGAAGCATTCATTGTAACTTTTTTTTGTAAAATTATGGATATATTTTTCTGGTGGATTGCATTTGTGCTTCATGTTAAATTGATATTATTTTTTCTATATCCTTTTTATTAAAATAGTGCATTTACCTATACTTCAGAGAGGCTGGGATAATTGAAAAATTGTTACTAAGTACTGATGGTAATTTTTTTTTTTATTGCAGAAGCTCCTTCAGCTCAAAAATTTTAACACTCTGATGGCCGTGGTGGGAGGCCTTAGTCATAGTTCCATCTCACGCCTCAAGGAGACCCATTCTCATCTTTCTTCAGAAGTTACAAAGGTATGGTGGATTAGATTCCAGTCCTGAGTACAAAAGTCATTTGTACATTGTTTAGGGATAGGATGCTCCTAACAGATGTCACTCAGAAGGGGAAAGTTCTCTTCCTAGATGATGGTTGGTTACACTTGGGGAATTAAATAGGAAGGGAATAGCCATACCACTGGGAAAAACAGGTTGGAAGTGGTGACAAGTGTCCCTATAAGAAGACCTTGAATACCATTAACATACTGCAATTGTGAGTACTCCACAAATATGCATGTGGTGCTAACTATGTGATATGCACTGTGACACACACAGGGGGTACAAGGCAAATGAGACAAACCATTCCTACCCTACGCTCCTCGATTCAAGTCATTGAACACCAAGCACTGTGTGAAACACAGTAGACAGATAAAAAGGAAGAAGGAGATGTTGACCTTGTCTAGAAATCCCTCAGATTTATAACTGAGTTCTCAAGAACAAATATATATATATATATAGAACAAATATATATATATATTGAACAAATATATATATATATATTGAACAAATATATATATATTGAACAAATATATATATATTGAACAAATATATATATATTGAACAAATATATATATATTGAACAAATATATATATATTTATATATTTTAAAAAAAACAATGATCATTTCCCAAACCGAGCTTTTTCTTTTCTGCCATATTTGTTTTCAGACCACAAGAATAAAATTTTTCCTCAGCGAGTGAAAAAGAACATATCATCTTTAGGAAAAGATTTCCTTGTAAGCATGTAGTTTGCTGTAACAGTAAGGACACTTTCAGCTGTTAAGTTTTAAAAAATCTTGCAGTTGCTTAAACAATAAGGAAATGGGTCATCTCACATACCTGGAAGTGCAAAAGCAGAGCTGACTCCAGGCATAACCTGATCAGAGCCCTGGCTCATTAGTTCTGCCTTCCTTTCGGTATCAGTTGTTTGTTTCGTTAGACTGGCTTATCTCCTGATTGGGCTGTCTGCAAGTGGGAGACAGTGAAAGTGTCCCCCTTCAGCCCTGCCCCCATGAAATGAAAGTCCTTGTTTTTAGGCAGATTGGACCATCTCAGGTCCCATTCTCACCCCTGGACCAGTAACAGTTGCCAGAAGAGTATAATGCACTGATTGGCTTACATCTGTGTTCCCGAGCCAATCACAAACAAAAGGGATGGAATGATAACGATGGTAAATCAGAACCCACCTTGGGCCTAGGAATGGAGACAGCTCCAGCTGAGCCACATGGGCTGCTTTGAGAAAGTGTCGACTAATCAAAATTGAGGAAGGCCTGGTTGCTTTTAGGCAGCCAGCAGTAAACAGGAGGTTGTAAACCAAGAAGCACTGCTGTCTGACCTAAAACACTGCACTTGTTCTAAGCATAACGGGGCTCATTATATCTTAGTTTTCCTTTAGCTTCGTACTGAATTTCAAGGAAAGAGCAAAACATGTTTTACATATTGTGTCCAATAAGAATTCAATGGAGGTTCTGAGAGGCTTGGAACCACCAGTGGATCTTCAACAATTATTTGAACTCCTCTTTCTTACAAAAAAGGAAACTGAGGCCTTCTCACAATAGATTTACTTGCCCAAAGTCACCCATCCAGTTAGTGGCAGAGTCCAAAACCATAGCTGTCTCACACCTCAGTGTGGCTTTTCCTGCCTCATCCTGTCCTAGGTTAACCTTCAAGTAATATCTTGAATGCAACTTTCTAAGAACAACCTAAACACTGTAATATACTGCATGCTATATTTTAATACAACACATGCTTATATTTGTGGCCTGTAATATTTCCATGAATTTCAAAATACTTCTAGATAATTTATGCTGTTTAACACCCCACCAGCCCTAGTAGGTAGGCAGAGGTGCGGGCGGTTTCTGTTTTGCAGTAAAAGAGAACACAGTGTCTGGCTCATTTGGCCAAGCCCAGGATATTTTTCTAATTTTCTTTTTCCAGGTTAATAATTTCCCTGCATCAGTGTTCCTGCAATTGATACTTTTCTCAGCGGCTGAGGAATTTCCCAGCCACACACTGCAGGGCCTGGGGGTGGGCAGAAAGGAGAACTGTTTGAAAATCCTACTTTTCCATCTGTTCCCAGAACTGGAACGAAATGACAGAGCTGGTCTCTTCCAACGGCAATTACTGCAATTACCGCAAGGCCTTTGCCGACTGCGAGGGCTTCAAGATCCCCATCCTTGGCGTCCACTTGAAAGACTTGATAGCAGTCCATGTCATTTTCCCAGACTGGATGGAGGACAACAAAGTTAACATTGTAAAAATGCACCAGCTCTCTGTTACCCTCAGCGAACTGGTGTCCCTGCAGAATGCCTCCCACCACTTAGAACCCAACATGGATTTGATCAACCTGCTCACGGTGAGTTCAGGGGACAGGAGTTTCTGCTGAGAGCTCTTCTACGCCTCACTTCACAGGAGGTGCAGGAAGGTTCTTGCATGTCATTCACCAGGTTGCATGCAAGGCTGGTCGATGGGATGGGATCTGAAAGGGTGGGTGAGGGGAGGGGAGCTCTGCCCTATAACTGGCATAAGCTGAGACTATAATCACTGGGCAGAGGAATTTCCCTTTGCCCTGAGGAGCCAAGGCACCACCCCTATAGCTCTGTGCCTAGAGCTCTTAGAGAGGCCCTCCTGTCCTCAGCCCCTCACTATCCTTCATCACACCAGTCTAGCTCACCACCTTCTATGTAGGCTTATAGCCTTACCTCATCCATTTCCCTTTGCCCTCCCGCACAGCATAGCTGAAACCTGGGGTTATACTAGGCCCTCCTCCATGATCTCCCTGCCCCCGCTGCCACCATCCCCATGCCAGCCTGGCCTTTGAGGCCCTTCCAGACTCATTGTCTATCTGGCCTGGGTTGTCATCACCTGATCCCACATCACACTTGCCTTTGAGGAACACTGGGCTTTCCACCTCAAACTGCTGCCTTCTGCTTCCTGGCCTTTGCACTTTCTTGGAAAATCCCTTCCCTACCCACCCCTGTGACTAGCCTCGGTCCTTCTGGAGCATTCTCGGTTCCTCTCCAGAGCAGTAAGTATCTGCCTCATGTGTGGCTCTTGACCTTTATACTTTCTTAACCATAGGGAGGTATCATTTTGTATTAGATTTTTGCCCCCTTTTTGCTTGCCCTATACATCTCATATCCCCAGCACCTCTCATGGTACCTGGCATATATAGGAGCTCAACAGATGAACTGAATGCTGTATATAGGAACGATGTAAGTCAGACAGAAGGCGTTCACCTAGCATTCATATTTTTTTGTCATTTGTGGTGGTCTCCAGGTCCTGGCGCTTTTAGACACAACAGATGTATGGGAGGGAACCTTCCCCATTGACGGCTGCCTTGTCCGGGGGAAGAGGTATAACCAAATTCTCTCACCCTTGTTTAACAAATGGAGAAGCAACTTCTCTGTTTGGGTTCATAACACGGAAGCGTCTGACGCTTGGCTGCAATACTGAATTGACTCTTTTTCATTCGTGGCCATGGAAAGTGAAAAAAATTTCCCCTGAAAGCTCTGAGAGCCTAAATCCTCTGGGACTACTGTACTGGAGCAGGAGAAGTTCCTAGACCTTCTCACACACTGTTCCTAGAGCACACGATTGTTTACCAAAGCACGGCACCCCAGAAGTGCGTGCAGTGATGCCAGCTGCACCTTAACATAAAGCAGAAGTAGCCAACACACAGAAACACGAATCTCTTGGGGCTGAGTTTGTATGACAAACAGTAAACACACAGACGTTCTCTACTAGGGGGAAAACCCCTCCCAATAATCCAGGCACCTGCATTTATGAATCATTTGCCATGTAAATCTGTTTCCATGAATAAGTGACCAGAGTTGCAGCCCCAATCAGACAGCAAAGCCACAGGCACAGGTGATGTCTGCAGACCAGCTGAAGTTCCACCTGTCTGTGTCCAGGCTGCCTTTACTACGTGGAGAAGAGCATCCCAGAATAGTGGAGAAGAGCATCCCAGAGTAGGCGCCTGTGCTCGGGCATATTCTCATCCTGACAAAGATGATGATGGAGTGGGGGAATTAATTTTCAGTTATAAGTGAAGAAACATAATGGAAGATATTTAGAGAAATATCAAAGGATTCTGAGTGAAAATTTTTGGGTGCAAATGGAAAATTTGAACCCTAGAAATAAAGGCTAAGAAATATATTTTTTTCCACCTGGGAAGGAAAGAAAAGAGAAAGAGGATGCCAACACAATTAATCTCTCTCTCTCTCTCTCTCTCATACTAAAAGAAAATATAGAAGCCACCAAGGACCATATTTAGGACAACAGTGTTATCTAGTGTAGTACAGTGGTAAGAATCCTGAGCAGGAGATCAAGCTTTTAGCTCTCTGTATGCCGTTACTTTGGTCTCCTTGTTAACTCCACCTGCCTCTGGACTTTTCATAAGGAGTTTTGTGCTCATTTGTGAGATCTCTTCCAGCTTTAAACTTCTGTGATTCTAGAGCTAAGAACTGATGGCCCCTTGAGAATAAGGAACCTGGTGTCAGTCTGATCCTGTGGTTCTAGCCCAGCGGCTTCTCAGATAGCATGGTCCCACATATGAGCATCGATCAGCAAGCCAGTTTCTATTTAAAGCCAAGATCACTCCTCCCTCCCTACAACCAAGGAGAAGGTTCATTGCCCAGGAATATACATTCATTCTTTCTGGCCACAGACAGATTCATTTCCTCAGTGCAGATAAAGGAGATTCCCATCGGGTATTCACTAGAGCCCAGTGGGCATCTCATGAAGCATATATGTGTTCATATTAGAACCATTTGATTGACAGAGGCTGTGAGGGCATCCATAGTGCAGCAATTTTTCCATTCATTTTGCCCCACAACTCTAGGTCAGGTTTTTGCCCAAAGTGATTGTTTGTTTCTAAACATGACGCCAGGTGAGAAAGCCAATACATGATTGAGAACCTTGGAAGACGGAAAATGAGAACTCTTAAATAAATCAACAATTGCAGAATGTCTGTTCCATGTGGTAGGCTGTATAGCAATGTTGGGACTTTCTATAATAGCTGATTGCATTTTTCATAGCACTTTCATGCACAGTTCACAAACACAGAAACCCTGTGAGGGACCCTGGGCAGGGCAGAGAGTATAACATCACCTTTGTATTTTACAAAGGAAGAAACAGATTTCTTAGGGACAAAAGTTTTGCAAATGGAGAACTTCTGAATCCCATTGTGGGGTGGGGGGGAGTTCTCTCTCTCTCTCTCTGTCTCTCTCTCTTTCTCTCTCTGTCTCTCTCAGAGATGGGCATTTACTCTGTAATGCAGGAACACTGCTGACATCTATTTTATTTTGCATCTGTTAAAATTAAGTAATCTCTCTCTCCCTCTTCATGGGTGGCTAAAGAAGGAGTTAATTACAGAACAAAATCTATGAGTCAGAGACTCTGTGAGCCATTTTTACCATTGTAAACTTAGCCCCTGAACAGCACTGGGCACATGAAAGACGGAGGACCCTAGCACTAAACGCATGGATTTTGGTTTGCTCCCCTTTTTTAGGGACGATCTAGAGAAGGCATTTTCCACTGTGATCCTAATCCTAGAACCAGCAGCTTTAAAAGCTAATGCTTCTTGCTTTATGGTATACAAAATCATCTGATTCTTTTCAGAGTATTTTTAGATGTATCAGTTACTTTTACCATTCTGAGTATATGCAAATAACTGGAAAGCCCCCTGTATTTTTAAAATTTAAAAAAAAAAAAAAAAAAAAGAAGAAGGAGAAGAATTGAAAAAATGGTGGATAGAGATACTTTGATGACCAAGTAAATTTTATTTTACAGTTCTACAGTCAGGGTGACATAGGTCTTAATGTGCAGACTAAATCCACAGCCCTCTTTGCTGATACCTTGGTAATAAATGCAGCAACTTGAAATAGGGACTCAGACCATTTTCCAAGCTCAAGATATGTTAGACAAGCAAGCATTCTTGAAATATCGTTGGCAAGCTGCCTCTAATTATTAAAAAAAAAAAAAAAAAAAACATGTGTAGGAAGTAAAACATATTACCTTGTACAGGGCTGTAAAACCCAGAGGAGAGGAGAGAATGTATGTAGGCAGGATCATGGCTGGGAAAGCAGAGATGGCAGGAGTAATCCATTCACTGACAAGGGCAGTGGTATTTAACTGGAAGCCAACATTGCAGTGCCCATCTGTATGGCCCACTAAACAAACCCCAATGGATGCATGTTAACACATTTAATCTCCGTAAAAGTCCTGGGATGGAGCTATTATTTATGCCTCCCATTTTAAAGACCAGAAGACTTGAGTTCCACAAAGGTTAATAACTTGCTGAGGTTCACACTACCACTAATTGAGAACAATCATTTAGAGAAGATATTTCCATCATAGGCTCTGATATCTGTCATTTGATGTATGAAAATACCCAAGGATGTTCTGTGTCTTTTGAAAGAGCATCTCCCCTACTCAGTGTGTGGTTTGTTTGGATTTCTGGACAGATATTCTGGCACTGTTGTCATCCCTTTTCTAGCAGGTGCCATTGCTGGTCATTAATCAGGAGGACAGGAGCATGCTCATCAACGTTCAGGTTAACTCCTGGCAACAAGGAATTCAGAAGGAAACAGTGACTTGATTTTCTCTCTATGTAACATTCACAGTGCAAGGCAGCAGCTCTGGCTGGGATTTTAGGGGCAGAAAAGATGGATGCACTGCCTGCGTTTGTGAGGCTTAGAAGCCAGTAGAATTTTCCATTGTGGAATTTACAAAATGGCAGGCAACCACCCATGGCAAGATGTGTTTTATTTGGCCCACACGGAATCATAAAAATTTTATATTGGTTGCCAGGATTTAAAAACTGAGATATTTCTCCAGATCTCTGGCTTCTCTAGACAAATGAGAAGATATGTCACTTGTCAAGCTGAAAAAATTTGCCATAGCTGAGCAGGGACCACACCTCCCCCTATCACTTCCCTAACCCAGATATCCAGGGTCACGTCCTACTTATCCCAAGTTTTTTTTATTGTTGAGCTCAGAGGGAAGGTCCCAAGGTGATTACATCTGCGAAGATGGTTTTGGCGAATAAGCCATTGTTATACCAGTGTTTCTATCAAAAGATCTTTTTCATGCATTTCACTTCATTCTCTTATATAATGGACTGGCTGCTAAAGGCATATGTATGTGACATGGGGATGGTTCCTCTCCTCCCTGGAGGTAGGAATGACTGTTTAGTGGAATATGGATACAGTGTCTATCCTTTGTGAGTAGGATTTTCAAGATCTGAAATGATGATGGGGAAGTTTTATAGTTAAGTCAGTTTTATTATGTTTAGAAAAAAATCTTTAGGTGACAAAGTCTAGGTAAAGCAATATACGGCTTGATGTGTGAAATTCTTGATATAAATATTGTAGGGCCATCTGGGTGGCTCAGTTGGTTAAGCGTTCAACTCTTGATTTCGTCTCAGGTCATAATCTCATGGTTCATCAAATGGAGCTCCGTGTCGGGCTTGGCACTGGGCTTGGAGTCTGCTTAAGATCCTTTCTCTCCCTCTTCTTCTGCCTCTCTCTCTTTCACACTCTTGCTCTCAAAAAAAGAAAGATAAATCCTTGAAAGACATCTTTTGCCTCTGAGTTTTCTCCCACCTCATCCTTCTTGCACTTCTCCCTCACTCTATACCCATACACATTAAGTCTTTATTTTTAGACCAAATATGTTAAAGAAAATTTTCATGCCCAAATGAACAAAGAAAGGACAGGGCACCCGGTTACATTCACTGCTGATGAAATGGTGTGATTCATCGGGTGTCTTAACATTGAAGAGTGTAGAAAGGACTCATCTAGGCTTATTTTAAGTCTCATGCCTTCTATTTTAGGTGGATGGGACTGTGCATTTTATTTTTTACTGATTTTATTCATGTACTCCAATCTTAGTCCAAGTTGTCCTTGCCTGGCCTGTCCTGATCTTTCTCTCCCTCTTTCTTTGTTCAAGTCATCCAAGTTAGGTCCTAGGCCACAAGGTCCTCTGTGTCTCTGTCCTGATCACTTCTGTCTTCAGTGACACACCCCCTACATAATAATAATATTAGTAGTAATAGCTTTCATAATAACAGTAACATCAACAACACTAAATAACACTTCTTGGCATTTTGCTGTGTACCAGGTTATGCATGGAGTACTTCACATGAAGTACTCCATTTGATCTTGATCAAAATTCAATTCAGTAGGGACTTTTATGATAATTTACATTTTACAGATGTGGAAACTGAGAGGCAGAGAAGATATAACTGGCTCAAGGTGACAGGGCTAACCAGTGTCAGGCTTAGGACTTGAACTCAGGCCCAACTGACTCCAGAACCTTCCCTCATGCTTTACAGGCTGCCTCTCTGAACAATTCCTATAGGGGTGAGAGTGGGGGTATCTTATTTCACAACTCGAATATGTTGCCTTTTGTTGATGTAATCACATGTGATATAGCACTTAGGATGCTGATGAGCATGCTAGGTTTAAGTGTTTGTTTTGAAATTTCATGTTCCACCCCTGCATGCTATCTTTTTAATGTTCCACATTCTCTCAAATTATTAAACGCTGAGCTTCTACGTTCGGTTTGAAAAATATTTCAGCATTGTAAATAAATAAGTAAATGTGATTCAACATCATCATTTATCCCTTCTAATTTGTTGTAGCTCTCTCTGGACCTCTATCACACAGAAGATGATATTTACAAACTGTCATTGGTGCTGGAGCCTAGAAATTCTAAATCGGTAGGTGGATTTTTTTTCTATCTAAGGATCAGTGCCAAACACAAATGATTGTCGTTTATAGTAATTGGGTATTATAGTGATGATTTGTGATCTGAAGATTGAAGAATTTTTAAAAATCTGTATTATTCCATTTTGCCAGTGGAACAGCTTAGCTCTGATAGTTTGAGGATGATTTCTTCATCAGAGGCTAACAAAGAAGAACATTATTATCAATTACTCTGTTTTCTTATTATCATCTATGTGTTGTATCCCTCTGAGAACTTGCCTGCCTATACGGCCTCCCCCTCAACAAAAGAGAACCCATCTTAATGTTAAACAGAGTTTTAGACTCTTCAACATACAATTCTGTTCAGCATAAAATGAAGTTTAATAAATTTTGAATAATCTAATCATAATTCACAAATTATGCTAATTCACTATTCTGCTAATGATGACTCAGCTCAGAATTTCAGTATCACATTAGATAGTGTTTCAATTAATGGCTGACTCCTAGCAAAGAAACTTTGTATGATAAGATTGAGGAAGTTGCATTACTAAATGTACCCTGGTCTTTAGTTTCAGTGAGTGGACTGTATCTTAGATATGTTTTGCCCTCATAAAAGAATACCTGGGTAAATTTGAAATTTGCAGCTAGCATGACTAAGAGCTAGAGAGTAAGGTAAAATTATTGGAAAAAAGGAACTTGTGAGCTCCTCATTCCTTTGTTTTAGTGTGAAGAAGCTGAGCATGGTGGGGTAAGGTGTATGTGTGCCCATGGCATTTTCACTGCCCCACACCTTCCTTTACCTAGAACAGGGCACTTTAATTGTTATCGGTTGGTTGCTGGGTGCCTCTGGTGGGGTATTATATCCATGTTATCTCATTAAATCTGTTAAGGAAACTGAGTCGGGTGAGCACTGGTGTTTCACACAGAGCACTAACAGCCAGTAGGTGGGAGAATTTGGATATGGCCTCAGGCCTGTCTGTCTTCAACACCTAGGATTTGTTTTATGTTTATTTATTTATTTATTTTGAGAGAGAGAGAGAGAGAGAGAACACAAGTGGGGAAAGGGCAGAGAACAAGAAAGAGAGAGAGAGAGTAAGACCAGGAATTCCAAACAGGGTCCACACTGTCAGTGCAGAGCCCAACTCAGAGTTTGATCATGACCTGACCCTAAATTAGGAGTTGAATGTTTAACTGACTGAGCCACCCAAGTGCCCAAATGCATGGGCTTTTTCTACTATGTGAGGCTGCCTCTGCTTTACCTGCCATCCCTTGTATAGGAATGTGGTAGGAATGACTATTTTAGCACACTCACCTGAGTTGTGCCTTTTAGATTTATTTTCAGGATGGATTTTGGCCAATTTCAGATGTTTCCATTAAACATAGAAAATCTTTTTTTTGTAAAAGTGGAAGCTTTCAAAGCCCCTTCTAAGAGAGTTCTGTCACTAGAGAACAAACTTCTGACAGGATGATGGTACTGAGAGCCTATAACTTCAGTGTGCTTTCCCTTGGTGCTGGTGGACCGCACCAAAGTCCCACTATGAATCTCTTTCTCTTCACTGTGCACTCTTGTGTCTCATTGGCTCTTTGTATTTTATTTGGTGGTGTCTCAGTTTTTTCACTCTACCTCTAGGTCAAAAGAAATACCTCACAATTCCACGTATACAATAGTTAAGTCAAAACAGCTTAATATATATTAATGTTCTAATGATTTAGAACCCACATTGAAAATAATATACATATGTTGAAATCAGTATAATATTTTCGGGGCACCTGGGTGGCTTAGTCAGTTAAGTGGCCAACTTTGGCTCAGGACATTAATCTCATGGTTCATGAGTTTGAGCCCCTCATTGGACTCTGTGCTGACAGCTCAGAGCCTGGTGCCTACTTCAGATTCTGTGTGTGTGTGTGTGTGTGTGTGTGTGTGTGTGTTTGTGTGTGTGTCTGCCCCTCTCCTGCATGCACTCTGTCTCTTGTCTCTGTCTCAAAAATAAATAAACATTTAAAAAAATTTAAAAAAATAGTATTTTAGTTTCATTCTTAAATAACCCACAATTACTTACTAATGGATGCATGTGCCTATTGGGCATGGGGAACAATTTCTTAAATCTTGGCATCAGATTAAATAAAGCCACCTTTTTTCTTGTTCCATATTTATTTTTTTTTTTTTTTTTTTTTTTGCTTCGGAAAGATTTGATGCCATTGAAGGAAATACAGCATGATCTAATGGGTGAACTGTAAACTACTTCAAGATGGTTACATGGTGTCTGACAAATACTGAGTACTGCTGTATTTTCCTTGGGAGTTTGAAATATCTTTTGGTATCTCTGGGAGTCCACTATAGTGTTCCAGATAGGACACCTTGTTATATAGTTTGGGAACTGTGGGTTTATCCCTGATCAGATGAACACAGTGAAAAGCTTGATAGAAAGAGTCACAGTGTGTGAGTGAGTCTAGGTGTCAGTGATCATATCCAGATGGCAGATACTTTTTGGTCCTGTTGGTAGCCTGTAGGATACCAGCAGCACCCACCTCAAAACATTGCAAGGGGCTTAAATCTAGTACAGTCACTCCTTAATTGCTCTTGCAAACATGTTTATCCCCAGTTCAGTATCAAATAAAAACCTGCCAAAACAGATTTGCATGCATGCACCAGCAAAAATATTTACATTACAGGAAGGTCCTGGGGAGAGGAATAAAGTACATTGCACTCTTGGCTTGTCTCCGATAGGATTGTGGTTTGCCCTTGTGTTGTGTAAACGTGTTATGCATTATTGCCACCCTCTTGCCACAGTATTTAGTGAAATGTCTTACAAGAAAGTGGGAAAACATATGGATAAAGCAAGTTCACAAAAGAGGCTAGAAAGGCCTAATTAGCCAAATAGTGAGAAGTGATTAAGCATGTTGAAAGAGATCCCAGCATGAAAACATAAACTTGGCCATTTACATTAGCCCATTTACTGCACACAACTATGAGTTTATTACCAACACCAAGTAGGAAAGAATTAGATAACAGGTGTTTTATATATTTTGCATTATACAAAATCTGGGTAGATTATTTTATAGGTTTTAAGGATGTTTTAGTCATATTTGGGGGAAATTGGATAGAATTTTTGAGTGGGCTGAGAGAACAGTATATTTTTTACATTTAAAATAATGGAATATAGGCTACTGCTAAACCAAATACACTCTCCAAACATATATTTAGTTACAGATTAGATTCTCTTGACAAAATATTTTCTCCAGAACATTTAAGTGCTACATCTGTAAGTTTTTACTGTTATTAACATATAACAATAGGGTGTCCCCTAATTGAAGATAAAGTTGAAAAATGTGTTTTTCCTCCTATCAGCAGCCTACCTCCCCTACAACACCCACCAAGCCTGTGGTGCCCCTGGAGTGGGCATCAGGAGTGATGCCGAAGCCAGACCCCACAGTCATCAACAAGCACATAAGGAAATTAGTAGAGGTAAGTAATCAGAGAGAGTAGTGAGTGAGCACTAGAAGGCCTTTTCTCTCCCCTAGAATATTCTACAGTTGCCCAAGAGTCATCTGAAGTCAATGGAATCAGCCCTCTGGCAGGTAGGATCAATTTGGCAAACACTGAGCTCTACCTGGCATTGACCTATGGGCGAGAATCCCTCCGAAAGGCCCTTTTCCCCTTCCTGTCATTGTGTTCTCATTTACCCAAATAACCTCAGCTACTTCCAGCTCTCTTTCCCCAGCATTTGATGTCTCCATCACTACCCCTGCAACTTGAGGGACTGTTTGGGGATTAGAATCTACTCATTAAAAACCTATGTGGGTCCCAATAAAATGCCCAATAAATTGAAATCCTTGAAGGTAGGAAAAGATCCTGTAGGATACATAGTTCCTCTTGCTGTATATACTGGGGGGTCTGTGACACACCTGCACAATGCCACTTAGGTCAGAAACATCACTTAATGACGGGCAAGTGTCTATCAGAGTTTTCATGTAGAAAGAAGAGTAGAAGCACCAATGTGGGGAAAATGGAAACATATTTGGCACTAAAATCTATGACCCCTGACTAAACATCTGCTTTAATGGATTGGTACGATACAATAGAATCATGTCTTTGGGATAGAATAAACTTTTTGCTGGGGGTGGACATTTAAAGAAAAAGAGGGGGTGCTTGGGTGGCTCAGGCAATGAAGCATCCAACTCTTAATCTCAGCTCAGATCTTGATCTCAGGGTCATGAGTTTAGGCCCTGTATTGGGCTTCATGCTGGGTGTGAAGCCTGCTTAAAACAACAAAACAAACCAAACAAACAAACCTAAAGAAAAAGAAAGACTGTTCTTCATCTTGGATCATGGAGGGAACTATGATGCACTGGAAGAAAACGTCTATGCAGCATGTGAGGCATCAAGGAAAGTTCAGAAAGGAAGGGGGAAGGGACTGAGAAGGCCATAAAATCCAGGGGAGGCCCTGTGCTGATATTGTGTAACAGACCCAGCTAGGAGCCAGGGAAGCTGGGGAAGGACTCCAGATCCAAGAGTTGCAGCTCAGGAAGGTCAGGAACCAGGAAATGAAAGACACAATGATTCTCTATTTCACTCTCTTCCCTGCTTTTCTCTGAATGCTCATTCCATTATCTGCAGACAGACTTTCTTTGCTGTACAAGGGGAGTCTGTATCTCCTCCCTCCCTTCCTCTCTCTCTCTTCCTTTTTATCTTCTTTCTTATTTTCTCTCCGATTTCATGGGAGAAGTTTGGCCCAATTTCATGGGAGAAGGTTGGCCAATTTCATGGGAGAAGGTTGGCCCAATTTGGATAAATTGCCTACTATTGGTTCAATCAAATGAAAGATTGCATTTTATTATGCATTTCCACATTAAATTTTATTCTACAAAAAGAATTGTACTTTTAATATAGATATTAGTATGGATATTAGATTATAAGTAGTAGGTACGAGTAGTTAATTTTAAGCAACTTTTATTGCAGACAAGTATTGTATTGGTATTGGGACTTGCAGAAAAAAACTATATGGTTTTATGATTTTACACCATTCAGTTATGTATAAATAAACTTATAATAGGTCCTAAACAGTTATATTTTAAAGTAATTTGTTCATTTATACCTTGTTCGTCTCTCAAAATACTCCTGAAGCAGCTTGCAACATATAGCAATATGGATAAAATAGAGAGAAAGCATTGGAAAAAGGGAGATTCATTATAATCTGTTTGCATACATGTGCTCCTGGGGAGAACTTAACAAGCCTTTTTGAAAACCCATTTCAGCAGAGGGTAATGGAAAAACCCTTTTATTTTTTCTGATTATAAAGAAAGTCAGAGAAAAGCAAATATGCAAGCTTTTCATAAAATATGGACAATACAAATTTTACTTCTAGGCCTTGGGAATTCTGCTTTCTAAGGAGAACCACTGATAATTTGTAAACTGTCTTGTATGACTTTATTCCCCCACAAACACCCCCCCCCCCCACATATGTCTTCGAGCAGCATAGTTCAATTACTTTCCTAGAACAGATTCCCATCAGTGGAATTGCTGGGTCAGAGTAAGCACTGACTGTCTTCCAGAAAGATTGTGGCTATTTACTTCATCAACTAATATGAGACTGCCTATTTTCTCATTCCATAGGAGATTACCAATTATTTTAATGTTTTCCAATCTGAGAGGTTTAAAAAAGCTTTATTTGTGTTTCTATAATTACTAGCAGAATCAAGGATTTTCCATAAACATATTGGCCACTTGTATTTTTACTTTGGTGGTCTCCTGTTCTCCTTTTGTGTCTTTGCTGTCATGTATATTGCAAATAATCTTTCTGACATTTATCTTTCAATTCATCAGCTGAATTTTTTGATTCAATTATTTTGCATTTTATGTAATAAAGTATTTTTGTAGGGGCGCCTGGGTGGCTCAGTTGGTTGAGCATCTGATTTCTTAATTTGGGCTCAGGTCATGATCCCAGGGTTGTTGGATCAAGCCTGCATTGGGCTCCGTGCTGAGCATGGAGCCTACTTGAGACACTCTCCCTCTCTCTCTCCCTCTCCCTTTGCCCTTCTCCCATGCTCAGGTTCTCTCTTTCTCTGTATGTAAACTAAAAATTTTTTTAATTGTTTATAGCTTCTGACTTTGATGTCATGTTAAGAAATGCCTTTCCCACTCAAAGATTACAAAACATAAAAATTATTTTTATCTATTTACCTTTCAAACTTTATTGCTTTTTTATTATTTAAAAAATTTTTTAATGTTTGTTTATTTTTGAGAGAGAGAGAGACAGAGAATGAGTGGGGGAGGGGCAGAGAGAGATGGAGACACAGAATCTGAAGCAGGCTCCAGGCTCTAACCTGTCAACATAGAGCCTGACATGGGGCTCGAACTCATGAACTACAAGACCATGACCTGGCCCAATTGAGCCACCCAGGCACCCTTATTGCTTTATTTTTGACATTAAAATATTTAATGCATCTAGAATTTAGTTTTGGGCAATTGATTTTATAAGATTATTAGCCATTTAATTCAATAGCAATTATTGGATAATCTTTAATTTCCCTGTGGATTTGAGAAAGTGCTTTTTGATATTATAAATTCCTGTATATACATAGAACTATTTCTGGACTCTGCTCTCTGTAGTAAGTTGTCGTACCATGTTGTTTTGATTCATGTAGCTTTGTAGATTATTTGAGTTCCGATGGGGCACACTCTCCCTCATTACTTTATCTTAATCTACTTATCATAAACAATTTTAGGCTTAAACATGTTTACTTCAATTTGAACTTTAGAATCAATTTGTACATTTAAAACAAATTGCACCGCAATTCTGATTGGAATTGCATTAAAAGTATATTTGAATTTTTTAGGAGTATCCAGGAGGCTCAGTCAGTTAAGTGTCTTGATTTTGGCTCAAGTCATGATTTCATGGTGGTGAGATACAGTCCCTCTTCCTAGAGCCTGCTTAATATTCTCTCCATCTCCCTCTCCCCCTCCCCTGATCATTCTCGCTCTCTCTTTCTCTGTGTGTGTGTGTCTCTCTCTCAAAAAAAAAAAAAAAAACTTGAATTTTTTTTAGATAATTTAACATTTTAAAGCTTCATTTTCTATTGTCATGGTTTTGGCATTTGTGAGTTCACCAAACTTAACTCTTACCAAAACTGATGTCTCAGGTTAGACCTCACTTTCTCCAGGAAATCTTTTTTTAAAATATTTATTTATTTTGGGAAGAGTGCATGTGAGGGAGGGGCAGAGAGGTGGGGACAGAGGATCTAAAGTGGGCTCTGCACTGAAAAGCTGACAGCAGTGAACCCAATGTGGGACTCCAACTCAGGAACTGTGAGATCTTGACCTGAGCTGAAGTTGGATGCTCAACTGACTGAGCCACCCAGGTTCCCCTCCAGGAAACCTTTTAAAATCTCCCTTAAAATCCCCCCATAGCACCCTGTTTTTATCCTCAGCATTGCACTTATCTTGTTATACCACAAAGGCTTCTTGATTTCATTATTTCCCACGGGATTCCAAGCTCCTTGATAGAAAGAATAATATACTATTTATCACTGCTTTCCCAATAACAAGTACAGAACCTGACTCATAGCTAGTTATTTAACAAATATTTGTATTTCCTTTGCAGTCTGTGTTTAGAAACTATGACCATGACCATGATGGGTACATCTCCCAGGAGGACTTTGAAAGTATAGCTGCCAATTTTCCCTTTTTGGATTCCTTCTGTGTCCTGGACAAAGATCAGTAAGTTGTAATTTTGTTATATTTTAATACTACCATCCTGAAACAGAAAATTAGTGTCAGAGGAGAACAGGAATGTCTTTATTTATAATTTTTTAAAGTTTATGTATTTATTTATTTTGAGAGAGAGAGAATGAGCAGGGCACGGGGACAAAGGGAAGGAAGAGAGAGAGAATCCCAAGCAGGCTCCACACTATCAGCACAGAGCCTGATGTGGGGCTTAAACTCACAAACCGTGAGATCATGACCTGAACTGAAATGGAGAGTCAGAAGCTTGACCGATTGAGCCACTCACATACCCCAAGGATACCTTTAATTTACATCTTGACAGCTTCAATCTTAATGTGTTGATAAGCCACGTCTAATGTTTCACTGAGTTTTTTTCTTGGTGTTCACAAATCTGCCTGGTTGGATGTCATCATAGGGCAGGCTACACCACCAGTGTTGAACCCAAGTGCCCATTTGCAAATGAGCCCAACTCTCCATTCCCCATATTACTTCTACTTAGCTATTTCATCAATCCCAAAACCTCCATCAAGAAAAAATGGAGGAGAAATACAATTACACCGAGGCTGGTAGAGTCCTCAGCATCAGTGGACCTGAGGGCAATACTAAAACTCACCAAGCAAGTAAAATTATTTTAAATTACTTACAGTCTTCAGAAGAGCAGTGATGCCTGCCGATAGCCAAGACGTGTCCTTCTTTGTTTTTCCCTTGCTAACTCAAAGGTTGTTTTGATAAACGAAGTAAAATATATATTTCTCTTAAGCTTTAAATGACTCCTGGAAAAGCAGATGACTATAGAAGCCAATATCCAGCTCATTGGAAAATAATGTATGAAATATATATTGCAGAGAAACACTGGCATTAGTAATTTGATTGCTTCGTTTTTAATTGTGTGAGATTAGTTCTTAGTTTAAAAATCTAGAATGAGATGCTAGATTTTATACTGGTGAAATGTCCAAATTATATCACTTTAAAATCCTTTATTATTTTTGTTGGTGTGTGAAGTTTTTTTTTTTTTTAAATTAAATCTGTAGGTAATTCAGTACACTAAGGCTTTCCTTGGTACTTTATCATAAATATCTTAAAAATATAATTCATCTTCCTTGGAATTCTAGAACAAAGAATACTTTAAAAATAAATTAAATAATTAGAAACATAAACTTATTTTACAGAATGAAATTTAAGTTACCTGCTGACTGCCCACTTCCCTTAGTTTGTTTCTGTCAGTGACATGTAGGTAGGACATGAACTTAAAAATCACTTCGTACTCTTCATTTTTTTTCCAGCTGATTCTTTAGATGGACGTTACACTATGCCAGCAAAGATATAAAAACACTTCTTTTTCTAAAAATGAAGGTTTGAAATATTCATAGCTTACATGATTTTTTCTTTAGATACATTGATTTTGTGAGGCTAACAGACCATCCAGGAAGAGATTGTAGCAAGCTGAAGATGTGGTACCAAGATTCAGGAGAATAGTTTTGGAGGCATAGATTGCTAGGTCTGCAGCCCAGGCTTGTGAGCTGGAGTCCTGGGTGTGGGAGCAGATTCAAAGTTTAGAAGAACGTGAGCTTGGAGCCTGAGGAATGTAGCTTCAGGGACTCTTCTCCCTACCAGCAGCTGAAAGAAGAAGTAGGTCCTGCAGGAGAGCCGGAGCAGGAGAAATATGGGAGGCAGGAGAGAAACTGTGGCCATGTGGAATCACAAGGTCACATGGAAGAGAGAGTGTCAAAAAAGGAAAAAAAGCCTGCCCCCTATCATGTGCAGCCAGGAGGTCAACAATATCAAGGAGTGGAAAAAAAGCCACTGACAATGTCCTTGTGACAGTTTCAACAGGGTGTCAGAAGCTTGGTTAAATGGAGTGAAGAGTAATTGAAGGAAATGAGAAAAAAATGGAAAAAAAACTCTAATGAACTTTTTTTTTTTTTTGAAAATTTTGGGAGTAAGAAAGGGAAGAGAGGAAAGACAGGAGCTGGAGTTGGAAGCGAGGTTGAGAAAAGACGGTTTCCAAGGAGGAAGTCACGAGTGTATTTGTACACAGAGGAAGGAGTGGGTGTCTTGGGAGGCTGGAGAGTGGGGGATGGAAGCATGACTTCCTCAGAGACAGGAGGACCCAAGGGAGGAGATGAGATACAAAGGAATTCTGAATTGGCACAGAAGGGTGTGGTCTCCAGTACATGCTGGTGTGGAGAGAAGGCAGCATGAAGATCACCTGTATCAGGTGGATCTGATCTTGGTAAACAAGAAGTCTGATTATGTGTGGGTGGGTACAACTGGCTGTGAAGAAGATCTGGAAGAATTGCTCTAGCAAATGGTCTGTAAACCAGTAAGACATGAACGAAAGATTACCACTGGCAGTGGCCTGGATGACAGCAGGCTGAATGAATTTGAGAATGGTGGGCCCAGTTATTACAGTTTTCTGCCTTTCTCCAGCAGGTTGCTTCTTGCACACCCTATTGCTAGGTTAGGGCAAGAAAAGAGATATCCTCCTTTGGTAATGAAGGAGACTTTCTGTGGTATGGAGACTATCAGACAAACACACACACACACACACACACACACACAGACATCTTACTATGAAAGCCTTTGGCACTGAATGCTCTTTCAAGGTCCTCTCCTTTCAAATAGAACAGTGAAGTAAACACTCCCCACCTGCTTTTGGCCACAAAGAGTTGGGAGGTTGGGTAATTAAAGTGTGTCAGCCACTTGGCAACATGGTCTTCAAGATCGCTCCCTTTTTTTATTTTCTTTACAGGGATGGCCTAATTAGTAAAGATGAAATGATGGCTTACTTTCTGCGAGCTAAGTCCCAGTTACACTGTAAAATGGGACCAGGATTTGTCCATAACTTTCAGGAGATGACCTATCTCAAGCCAACCTTCTGCGAACACTGTGCAGGATTTGTAAGTCTATTTTCCATTATTTCTCTTGTGTGTAGTTATTTGTATAGCATCCTGAGGACATAGGAAAATAATACACCAACAGAGTCCATTGTGTGCTTTAGATGGGAAGTAAAAAAATGATGGCTCCCTGAAATTAAAAATTAAGTTAAAAACAAAAGCAAGATCTGCAGGTTTCACTGTGTTCTTTCTAGGATTGTGGGGCTGGTGACAGGCAAGGATGGAGAGGCTTGTTAACTCAAGAGAGTGGTTTGTCTCTTAATCCCTGCCAGGGAAAAGTTCTGCCCAATGAGCCTTGACATTCATCACTAATACTCATAGCAGGTGCAATTAAGGGGAGTATTTATCTTAGCCAGTTCCTTCCAGTTCTTGTTTCATGTGGTATCAGTCACTAGACATCCATCATGGCATGGCTCAATAATTCATAACTCAAAAAGGAAAAAAAAATCTTTCTGGAGAGAAGATGGTTGTAATAATAAATAGCATTTACTTGGCATTTGACAGTAATGAAGTACCTCCATAGACATTAGTGTAATTGATCTTCATAACTAGCTCATGACATGGACAATTCTCCCCATTTGCCTATCAAGACAGAGAGGTCCAGAGAGGATACGTTAAGTTTCCCAGGATCACACACTCAATAATTACCAGAACCAGGACTCAAACACGGGAGTTCTGACTCTGAATCCTGGCCTCTGCCTATACTACTGCACAGAGGAAGATGGTTCACTTCTTTCCCTCATATTTGATAATCCTTTGGCATCTAAAGGCAGCTTTGGTCTTGATATTGAACCAAGACTCATGGGCCCTGAAAGTCTAGTTGATACCCAAGATGTAAAAGATGAAAATGTGATCCTCTAGGAGAGGGTGGCCCAACATTCAACATGACTATTACTCCTTAGTCCAGATCCCAGTGCTCAGTTATGTTAGCTTCATTCAGCCATCATGTTCTGCTGATTCCATAGTCTCTCCAGATCTTAAAGCAGCCTGAGGTCTGAAATCAGAAGACTGGGAAATCTTCCTATAAACCCATTGACATGAGGTCACTGTCTCCTGTCCTTGGCTGGCACCTGACCCAGAGCCTCTTCCTGCCTTGTGTCATGCCTAGTTATTAAAGAAGTGTTAGCAAATGATGCCCTGACTTGCCCTCCTGGTAGGACTAATGCTTCACTTTGTCTTTTCCAGCAGTTCTTGCCGCTATGCTAATAATGTGCCATATCTGGATATTAGAATGCTTCTTCTTAAATCTTATCCTTTCTTGTCCTAGATCAGTGGCTTTTGCTCACACACAAAACTCCCAGGAGCAGTGGCTTCCTGTCTTTCCCTAATGTGACGCAATCTTCTTTCCCTACTTATTAGCAAAAAGACTTTGCCAAGTGACTTCACCTCTTGCTAGCCTAGTCTATGTATACATAATGTTACATGAGGTAATACATATAAAAAACTTAAAACTGTGCCTCTCATCCAGGAAAAGTTCCATAAATGGTAGCTGTCATGATTATTATTGTTATCACCATCACCAAAGGCTCAGGAAGGAAATAATTTCTTATCACTACAAAGTCTCCTGAGGTGGGACCTTGCAAATGATTTACATTTTCTGGATCATCCCACTCACCTTTTATAGGAGAGAAGCAAACTAGATTATCTTCAAGATCCCTGTAGCCCTGACATGATGTGATGGTGCTGACCCCACTTCCGTTTTCTGTATGGACTGCTCCGTAGGAATTCCTCTTCCAATCATCCCAGGCCCCTGACGCCTTCCTTCCAGTTAGTTGTCTTAATAACCCTTCCTGTCTCAGAACACACTTGAATCTTAATAATATATTCCAAAGGACCCAAAGGAATAACTTTTAGGACTCAAAGGAATCGCTTTCCACTGGTAGAATTTCCTTCTCAGATAGAGGGTAAGGATCAGTCTTTCTGATGCCCTGAGTCAATGTACCTTGGCAGCTATTTATTCTTCTCATAGGTGACATGCCCACACTCAGGGCAGTGTTCCCCTATAATACATTAGTAAGTGATGCCCCCATCAGCCCCTGTCAGCCACTAGCCCTGTTTCTTTCAAAATCATTTTATTAAATAGATATCAGTCGCCTAACCTAACCACTAAAAGGTGAAAAATGGAGTTTTTCCAGCTTGAGTGAAACCCGCTGAGTTTATCAATACTGATGTTTCTGTGTTCCTGGGCCCCACATGCAATGTCATGGGAGGCACGGAAAGAATGTGGTGTATCAGGGAGGCGAACACACCACCATCAGGATGATCCCCTGAATTACTTGGGTGAATGCTCCCTCCTTAAACTGGAGGCCCTCACACATGTCTTCTGAGACAGTTACCACTTCCTACTTCCTACTTGATTGGCAGAATCTGAGCATTTTTCTGCATCTCCCACAGAAGATGGCACAGACCTGGCACAGACCAAAAACACTGAGGGGGCAGAGAACGAATACATGAACAAATCTTTCCCTTTTCTGTATTCTTTCAAGGTACCAATGCTAGTCGGAAAGAACCTTGTACAGTGCAAATGCTTTAGTGGAATATGCACTGTGCAGGTTGCTTAATTTCCCGTGGGGCATACCATGAGCAGCTAGCATGATTGAAAAGAAGGCAGAGGGAGCTGGGGGCTTCCAAACGCAGTGACAGTCTCCCCGTGGAATTCTGCTGAGAGTGCATTATACCAAAGTCCAATCATTGTACCCACATCAGTTTCCCAGCCCAGCTCCCGTTTGGCTTTCAGAAAGAAAAGGGAAGCAGAACTGTTATCACCCAAGCCCCCAGCTGGAGTGAGCTAGGAGATGGTTCTTCTATCTGACAGGAAGGGTGTCAGGATGGGCTACATCCTGTTTGTGCTCCACCAAACATCACATCTCCCAGGACTTCCTTCTCTCCAGCCTTGCTTTTTTGTTGTTGTTGTTTGTCGTTTTTTGTTTTTTTCAGATTTTAATTCAGAGTCCCTGACATTCTTTTGTCCTTTGTTACAGCTCTGGGGCATAATCAAGCAAGGATACAAATGCAAAGGTAAATAAATGTAATGTTAAAATTTTTAAGTGTGACATTTGGGGCAGGAATCAAATTTGTCTCTTGAAACCACAGAAACTCTTGCCATCATGGAGAACTTGGGTCTTTGGGCCACTGGCAACTGAATAGTTAATGTGTGTGTGTGGTGGTGGGGGTGGGGGGTGGGGAGGAATCCCTGGAGTTTTGGAGATCCCAGACTGGAATTTTATGGTTTGTGGCAAGAATAAGCATCGTTTCATGTGTCTGTTGGCCATCTGGATGTCCTCTTTGGAGAAGTGTCTGTTCATGTCTTCTGCCCATTTCTTCACTGGATTATTTGTTTTTCAGGAGTGGAGTTTGGTGAGTTCCTTATAGATTCTGGATATTAACAATGAGAAACAATGAAATCTGGCCATGTGTAGCAACATGGATGGACCTTGAGGGTGTTATGCTGAGCGAAATAAGTCAGGCAGAGAAGGACAAATACCATATGTTTGCACGTATAGGAGGATTAGGAGGAACTTGACGGAGGACCAAGGGGGAGAAGAAGGGCGGAAATGGTGGGGGAAAGGGAGAGAGGCAAACCATGAGAGACTCTTGAATGCTGACAAAAACTGAGGACTGATGGATGGGGGGGGGAGGGGGGGATGGGCATGAAGGAGGGCACTTTGGGGATGAGCACTGAGTGTTATGTAGAAACTAATTTGACAATAAACTATTTGTAAAAAAAAAATAATAAAATAAAATTATAAAGGTTTTCTGAGGAAAAAAAAAAAAAAAAAAGAATAAGCAAACCACCATTATCTACCTGCCCACCTCTGGTCCTATCTCCAAGATGTCTTGGGAATCACCAGCACACAGTTAAGGCCAGACTTCAGAAGAGGGCTGTTACTAAAATACCATATAAAGGAACTGCGTGCTTCATGGGAATAAAGCGCACACTCATTCCTGTAATACGAATGCCTTTCTTTCTACTCTCACATAGAAGCTGTTCCTTTCTCCACTAAATCACAGATGCTGATGAGAAAAGAGAAGCCTTAAAAAAATTATATTTGTCACTTTCAACGAATTTGTTCATATAGTGCCCCATTCAATAGAAATTTATAGGCAAATAAATATATACTTGATAAATGTAATATGCATGCATATTTAATAGACACTTGGGAATGTGTTGCTATTTGTACATAGATGATCATTACGCATTATTTGTGTTTAAGAAATTTCTGGATAGTTCAGGCAGACTATTTGTACTGATGGTTTTAAGACTCTGATAATGCTCTTGAAAGATATAACTATGAAAGGAAACATCTTAATAATGAAATGGCTTTAGAGTAATACTATTCCTTTGTGATGCCTTTTTTCCCTGTAGCTATCTTTCAGGATTTGGCCCTTATTTTGCATGAGCAGAGAGCATTCCTGAGCCCCAATGGGAGCCAGTTTCAAAAAACTTCCCTTTAGTTCTTGGTACCAGTTGTCTTAGTATAACTTGGATTTCTACTTACAAGCAGCAAGAAACTGCAATATTTTACGGCCCAGACATAGTTTTATTCTGGTTTCTGCCTCTCATCCCCTAAAAAGACACACACACACACACTAAATTTTATGAAGATGAAAATCAAACCCTTGGATCCTCTTTGTGAATATGGTATTTTCTCTCTTTTTTTTAAATTTTAACATTTCTATTTTATTTTTGAGAGAGACAGAGACAGAGCGCAAGTGGGGAAGGGGCAGAGAGAGAGGAAGACACAGAATCCGAAGCAGGCTCCAGGCTCTGAGATGTCAGCACAGAGCTTGATGCGAGGCTCGAACTCATGGTGAGATCATGACCTGACCTGAAGTCTCATGGATGGTGAGGTCATGACCTGACCTGAAGTCTTAACTGATTGAGTCACCCAAGCATCCCTGGTATTTTCTCTTAAAGGCACATAGAGTGAAAAGATTAATAGAAATAGACTGAACATGTCATTATAATTTGGTCTTTCCATGATGTCATTAAAAGAGCATTTGAAATAAGACCCTTTGGGGGAAAAGTGAGTATTGGAAAGAATTAGAAAGGTTTCCTTTGATAGTAAGAGAGAAATATACTCTTTACAATGATTGGATCTATTCAATGATTCTAAGGGAAATGTAGGGTCCTCTGTAGGAAATAATTGTGTTGTTTTCTTCCAAAGCAGCCCCAAATTTCTGCCCCAAGTAACAATTAATATTCTACTTTCGTTTTGTTTTTTAAATATATTTTTAATGTTTAATATGGGCCTGAGAGAGAGGTGGGGGGGTGGGGGGCGGGAACAGAGGATCCCAAGCAAGCTCCATGCTGTCAATGCAAAGCCCAACACAGGGCTTGATCTCAGGTACCATGAGATCATGACCTGAGGCAAAATCAAAAGTCAGGCACTTAACTGACTGAGCAATCCAGGCACCCCTTTTCTACTTTCTTAACTAAAGCATTCTAATGGGAGATTTCACAGAGTCTGCTGCCATTTCAAAGCCATAGTCAAATCTGGAAAATGTTATTGGGCATAAGCCCACCTTGTTTTCTGTTTCTATGCAAAGAGGAGGAGATAAGATGCATCTGGGCAGCTCAGTCAGTTAAGTGTCTGACTCTGGATTTGGGCTCAGGTCATGATCTCACTGTTGTGGTTAAGCCCAACATTTGGCTCTGTGCTGACAGCATGTAGCCTGCTTGGGATTTTCTCTTTCCCTCTTCTCTCTCTCTCTCTCTCAAAATAAGCAAATAAACTTAAAAAATCACTTGTCTTGAAAAGATCTGGAGGAATGAAGAAGAATACAAGGGTGTAGGCTAATACTGAATGGAAGGCCACCTCACTGTAAATGATCAGAGACAGCTGTTGGTCCTGGGAGACACTAGAAGCTGGGGTTTCCTTCCCTCATCCTGGCTCAGGGAGCCTCTTGGTCTGGGAGAACCCCAGTCTCATGGAACTGGCATTTAGTTTTGGGCAAAGGCAACTCCCCAGTCTTGCCCCTGCTTGTTTGCTCCCCAGCCCCTCAAGGAATCATGCAGTGGAAGAAGTCGAGCAAATGTGAGAGGAACATCAGGAAGGCTAGCGAGTCCCACTGGCCCTTTTCTAGCCCCTGGACAGACCCTGTGGGCTGGAGCCGGACTCTGAGTCCACGTGGGAAGGAGCAGAGAGAGGGCACAGCCTAAGGCTCAGGCACCCCCCTGGAAACCCAGTGAGCCAGATGCACATGGTTCACACTAATCGTCTGTGGTATCTTGGGATTTTTCAGACTGTGGAGCCAATTGTCACAAACAGTGCAAAGACCTCCTTGTTCTGGCCTGCAGGAGATTTGCCCGGGTACCCTCCTTGGGCAGTAGTCATGGGTCACTGCCTGGAAGTCCCTCGTTGCCCCCAGGTAATGTCTTCTAGTTTCTTTTCTACCTCAATTTCTTTCTGCTTGCCTTCCCACACCTGGACCTCCATTGGGTCCTGGATCTGAAGCTGGTCAGAGTCATTATAAATGCCAAGGCCAGCTTCAGGGCGAGTGGCATGGCTACAGCCTTGATTCCTGCTTGCTTCTCTCTGCTTTCAGGTCTCACCTCTATGCAACTCACCTGCAGCCGGCTTGGTTCTGCCTCGGGTCTGTCCCTCTAGGGCCTCACCCATTGGATTCCTGTTGTTAGCTATGAAGCAGATGTCAAATAATCACAACAGTCTTTCCCCTTCCAGTGCAGGATGAAGTGTTCGAGTTCCCTGGTGTCGCTGCTGGACACCGAGACCTGGACAGCAGAGCCATCACATTGGTTACAGGCTCTTCTCGCAAGATCTCTGTGAGGCTGCAGCGTGCTACCACCAGCCAGGCCACCCAGACTGAGCCTGTATGGTCAGAGGCTGGCTGGGGGGACTCGGGGTCCCACACCTTCCCCAAAATGAAATCCAAGTTCCATGACAAAGCAGCAAAGGACAAAGGTTTTGCCAAGTGGGAAAATGAGAAGCCCAGGGTGCAGGCTGGCGTGGGTGTTGTTGATCGGGGCACTGAGTTTGAGCCTGACCAGGATGAAGCAGATGCTGGTGAGACCAGACAGGATGGTGAGGTCAGTGCTGGGTCAAATCACAAATGAAATCCCAAGAGGGAGACTGAAAGGGGCCAAGATGAGCATTATAGTGAGTCCGGGAGGCAGCCTAGTGTTTCTGGGGGCTGAATGGTTGGGCATTAACACATATCACTTTTTGTCTTGCTGTTGGCTACGTAAATGATCATGGGAAAATTATTTCTCCTTTTTGCACCTATTTCATCATGTATCAAATGGAACCAGATGGTGAGCACCTGGGTAGTGCAGTCAGTTAAGCATTTGATTCTTGATCTTGGCTCAAGTCATGATCTCATGGTTTGTGGGTTTGAGCCTCACATCAGACTCTGCATTGATGGTGCAGAGCCGGCTTGGGATTCTGTCCTTCCTCCTCTTTCCTTCAACCCCCTGTGTGCTCTCTCTCTCTCCAAATAAACAAACAAACAAACTTAAAACAAAATTGAACCAGATGGGTTCTAAAGCTAAGTGAAGTCTACCATTTCTATGTCTGAAAATGACATCCTAGGGACCCATGACTCACTGTGTGTATCCAATAGACTAGTACTCTTTACCAATCAGCTTACTTTTCCAAGGTAAAATCAGGGCCCAAACTTGGGGGAAGGGGACAGTAGAAGCAAAAATGTTGCAGAAAGAGAAGAGTTGGAAAGGTTTGCCCTTGGTAAAGGAAAAAAAAAAAAAAGGCGTTTGACAGCATTATGGAGAAGGGGGTGGTGAGAATCAGAGACATGGCAGACTCAAGGTTCTAGAAGCCAGGCTCTGGCTCCATGCAGAAATCACACTCACATCATCCAAAGCAGATTGGAAAGCATATGGAATTTGTTAGAATAAGCTGAAAATATAAATTGATTCAAGATAGACTTAGATAAATGTATTAGTCAACAGTCCATAGTGTATTAAGAAAAAAGATTTGGGGAAATTGGTGTCATATTCCTAACCTTTCAAGCCGTGCCATGGAGGGCAGCCATTGCATCTCTACAGAATCATTCTCATAAACAGAATTATTGGGTTAGGCTGGGATCCTATTGGATCAAGCCAGTGTTCTTTACTCTTATGGGTGGTCCACCACATTCCACTCTTGAGGAGACCTAAACATACTGTTTCCATAGTTTCCCCTGAGGAGAAAATCTCTAGTGACCTTTAACCAAATTCCTCTAGTTCCTTCCTCATTGAAGACAATTAATAAGGAGGCCACGAATTATCTTCAGTCTTATGCAGTTTGTTGTAATTTCCTGCTGAGTCATTTCTTTTCCTTTCTTTATAACATGAACTTTTAAAAACAGCTCTGTTGAGACCTAATTTATGCATTATAAAACATACTCATTTGAAGTGTATAATTCAATGGATTTTAGTAGTCACAGAGATGTACAACCATCATGGCAATCTAATTAGAGAACATTTATGTCATTCCAAGTGTGCCCATTAGCAGTCACTGCTCATCTTTCCTATCCCATTCCAGCCCTAGGCAACCAACTAATTTACTTTCTATCCCTAGAGGTTTGCAATACCAACTGTATTTTTAACACGTCTTCATTGATCATCTTGGCAAATCCTTAGTCCTCTCCTTGCATTTCTTTGACTGGCCCAGCATAGTTCAAGGTGGGAATATAAAGATGAATAAGAAAAAGTTCCCAATACCAGGAGAGGAAGATATCCTGGGGGCAAGGTCTTAACTTGGGGTCTAAAGAAGGGCCTCAGGGAGTTCACAAGAATGCATTACATTTTATGTGAAATTATATATGGACATATGTTCATTTCTGGGGAAGTGTTCACAGCATTGAGCAGAGTCTCAAGGGGATCTATGACCCTCCCAAAAGTGAGGAATCATTGTGCAAGATTTTTTGGATGAAGCCTGAAATTGTGCTTGTCACCCCACTATCACCTCAGCCTGTGGAGGCCATTTCCATGAGCACTGTGCTATCATTGAAATCTCAGGAAACATAAGAGCTTCATTGGATAGAGTCATGGGATGCCTACTTAGAACTTTCAAGGTGGTGCTCACCTTGTGGGCCATTTCTGAATTCAGCAGAGTACCTGCTTTTGCTTAATAAATGGTGACACTAGCCATGAGCTCACTTCTATTCACCTAGTACTGTTCGAGGTACTTCAACCTTGCTCGTGGCTTAGGAGGAATTCACAGCCTGTTGGATGTAGGGCAATCAATTACATGAGTAAGATTTCTGGATCTTCAGTCTCTACAAGGAAATAGAGACAAAGATCTAGATTTTTTTTGAATTTAATTTTATTCTTTGCAAATTGAATATTTGTGTTCAGGGTTTGTCTTACCCCCTCAATTTTCTCATGTATAAATCATGGAGGTGGTTCATGGACTACTAGTATTGAATTTCATGTGTGCTAATTAAATAAGACAGTACATTTGTATATAAATACATATGGTATACAGTCTCCTTCCCATCCAAACCAGTGACAAATGAAAAGACATTTACCCTTGTTTAGGGGAAAAAGTAAAAAGGAAAAAATGTGACAAAATTACACCAGAGTTGAGTATGTAGACAAAGGGGTTTTCATACTTAAGAATTTTTTTCTGCCAAGCAAGGTAATGAATGGGATTCAGAGAAATGATCTGCATATTTATTATTCAGAATCAGATGATGTTTATGAGTTCTAAGAATAAAAATGGCAACTGACAAACAGTTGTGTTTGTAATCTGCATATTTCCTTTGGCGAGGTTCCAGGATTTACCCTCATTTTAAAATACAAGGGTGTGAATATATTTTGCAACCATGGATATCATTTCACCAATGACCATTGAGCTCCTGGATCGCAGGGACAATATGGCAGGTCATGATTATTCTTTTCGTAGTAAGAATATGTGTGTTTTCTTTACAATGCATCTTTGTTTTCCATTATCTTCTGCTAAATTAAATCTAATTAACAAATGTTGAAGGGCTAGGAAATGCTAGACTAAACAAAGTTTAATATGTTTATCACTCTTGGGGTGCCTGGGTGGCTCAGTCGGTAAAGCGTCCGACTTCAATTCAGGTCATGATCTCATGGTTCGTGGGTTCGCGCCCCATGTCGGGCTCTGTGCTGACAGCTAGTTCAGAGCCTGGAGCCTGTTTCAAATTCTGTGTCTCCCTCTCTCTCTGACCCTCCCCTGCTCGTGCTGTCTCTCTCTCTCAGAAAAAAAAGAAAAAAAACATTAAAATATGTTTATCTCTCTATACATCTATCTCTATACATACCTAAATAGATACATATCTTTTGCCCTTACAAGTTTTCTCAGTGCCCTTATGAAAATTTACCTTGTGGATTTCTAAGAGGGAAGCCTCAAGAAGAACCATTTCATAGACCAGTGTTTTGTGAAGTACTCTTTAGGGAGCATTAATGTAAGCATCCTTGTTGGAATCTAAGATTTAAGATTTCATGTGCTATGTGGACTATATGATCTTTTAATTCTCTAAATCTTGAGAGTACAAAGTACTGATCATTCACGATGTTCCCTCAAATGTAAATGATAAACTGCTTTCTAGGAACATTCTTATTTTGTTTAATGCAACCTAGCCATACACCATGTTCTGATTTGTATCGCAGGATGGCTGACTTCAGGCTGGGGACACCAGAGGCAATAATGTTGGCATTTGGAAGGAGCAAGATGAGAAAATCTGAAGAACACTCCAACTCAGGAAGTTATCTGAAAAGATATCTTGGACTTTTACTGACTGGTGACACCATGCGATCTCCCTGATTAGACTATGGGACAGAGGATTTCCCCCGTGAACTATTTATTTCCTCCTCCCCAGGCTCTAGTTAGGTGTCACAAAGATTGGGTGATGTAGTTGGTAGTTCTCATGTATCTTTCTCTAGAGCCATTTATATATGAGTGAAGTGAAAGCTTTTCTGCATGTACTTGATACTCATTCTCAAAACTCAAACTTTACTTTTTTGTGAGAATATTATTTCAGTATTTTTATAAACTTTTGGTAGGGGAGGAGTCAATTTAGAGGTCTTTTTTTGTGTGTGCTTTTTGGATGGGACCAGGACTTGTTTTCTAGAAGGACACGGAAGCTCTTCAGATCCTGGAAGATGGTGGTTCTTCTAACCCAAGGAGATGTTTACATGTTTCTTACTGTACAGTTGCTATTATGATATGTAACAAGTCATACTTTTATATTCACTTAAGTCTTACCCATTCTGCATAAGGAAGCTATGACATAGCCATGAAAACTCTCATAATATTTATAATTGCCATGGGGGAAAATTAAGTATACTTGTCTCACCTGACTAGGTTTAGCTATCTTTCCCAAGACTAAGACTGTTAAGGCTGCCAGTAAGAAATATGGATAGTGATTACAAAATCAATTAAAATGGGGGGGGGGGTAAAATCTAGGAGAAAAACAAACCACCAAGCAAACCACTTAGTGAAATAAAAAACAACCAGCAGTCTTTAAAAAGCCAAAATAGTTTTAAGAATTTTATTTGTTACAAAAGAAACATTTTGGTGGTAAAAGAGAACTTTTGTCCTCTTAAGAAATCGCTACCCAAAATTAAATAATCCTAGAAATACAATCATCAGATATCCCTTTGATTAACATTTGGTTTCAGCTTTTCAGGTATCAGTATTTTAAATATCTTCCTTTGACCTAAATAATTAGACATGGGTCTGTTTTCTACACGATTAGAGGAGAGAGAACTTAGTACAAGGTGTTCAAATGTCGAGGTTGGATTAAGTCAGTGGGCGAGGGAAATGACCTGCCGCCTCGTGGTCAGAGAGAAACTGTACCCACAGAAGTGCCCTCCTCTGCATTGGGAGATGAAGTGTGTATACCACCGAAGACTGAATCTGTTTCTCTTAGGGGCAGTCACTTCAGTAAAGACATGCCCTTCTTCTCTCTTTCCATTAGGTAAAATTGAGGACAGTTCTACTCCTCAAACACTTGACCACCTGCTCCTGTGCTAGATACGCAAAGACAAGCAACACCTGATCTCTGTCCTACGGAGCTGAGAACCTGTAGGCCTTAAGGCAAGATGGTTCCTTAAAGCACAGTTCTAGATTTGGTAGAACTGACTTAATTGTGCCAAACAGACTGAGAAATCCATGTGCAGTAATACTGCAAATTAAATGAAGTTATTAGTTGAGGGAGCGTTGATTAAGCTACATAATAAGAGAACTCACTCACCATTGACAAATCCCCTCGGAAAGCAAGTAGCCATCCCTGTCGGCTCTGTGTATATATACTATCTATTCCTATTCATAAATGCAGTGAAATACATGTTCACAAAATTAAAAACAGAAAATGGCAATTTCAGTACACAAAACATTTCCTGTGTATGTTTTTTTTTAATTTTAAGAAAATTCGGAAGAAACTTGGATTATTCTTTTTCTTCTCAATTATTTTACTCGTTACTGAGTTTGGGTTATTCTTGAGTAATTCATATATAAGAAGAGTTTTATATTGTCAGCTTTCCTGTGACAAAGATACTAAATGTACCTCAAATTAAAAAAAACAACGAATACAAACAACAAAGAAAATAAAACAAACATATGTGTGTGTGTGTATGTAGACACAGACACACATGCATACACTCACATACACAATACTATTATTACTTTGCTGCAGAGGAAACTGTGTCCACAACGAAGCTACTTTATAATTTTGAATATATTATTTACTCACAAACAATGGTGACTCTGATGTTTCAATCTGTCAATTTCCCATAATCGGTAAAATGAGTAAATTAGGCAAACCCTTGGAGAAGCAAAATAAACTATTATGTTTGGTTTCTCCAGACCTTCCTTCTGTAGATTTGATGATCACTATCATCTTTTAGGTGAAAGGCAAAAGTAAAGCCACACTCTTAACAGTGACTCATATCAGGCACCAGGAAAGAATATGTGAGATGCTGCAATTCAGTCTTCCTAGAGGGATGTACAAATTGAATCGATGCTTTTTTTTAGGTCTACCTAACCAGAGGGTGGCCCTACTTGGTAGTGAACAGTTTTTGTTGAGTGGCTGCCTCCTGAAGCAATAATGTCCCCACCTGTCCGTGGTAACAGAGTCTTTGCTGTTTAACATCAAAGGCAGGATTCCTGCAGAAGGGAGTACCACACTGTTACTGATGGTAGGAACCTTAGCATTTCTAAAATAAACACACTGATTTTTGACTCAGGAGGTAAATTCGGTCAAATGAGGTAGTGTAGTGTGCCTCTGGCAAGCAATGTGCAGTCAGATTTAGATCCCGTTTCTGCCAGTTGTAGTCATGAGACCCTGGGCAAGCCTTGTACATCTATCTGAGTCTCAGTTTCCTCCTGTGAAAGGAGAGATTTCCCCACCTTCCTCAACAGACCTCATAGAGCTGTTGTAAATATCAGGTTGAATAGTATATCAGGTTGAACAGTATATGTAAAGACCTTATAAATAATAAGTTAATCTTACTGTGCAGTTAAGCAGGTTTCTTTTCTAAAATTGTCTGCAAGATCCCAGACTATATGTTTTCATGACTATGTACTTTGGAGGCTCTAAACCTAACATTTAATTAAATTCTGTATCAAAAAAGAATGATTTAAACAGAGAAGTATACATAAACGCATCTTCTTATTCCTGGCATGTGTGTGGAGGGTTAATTCTGGTCTGTTTCCTAACATTGGCTATTCTCTCTCTGTTTGAAAATAGGTAGACAAGATTAAGAAACCAAATGGGTAAAATGTAAGTAAGTTTAGAGGAACATAGGTCAACACATAACTATACTGAAGAATTTAGTGTAATAGAGGCCGACAAGAGGAAAACAATTAACTTTTAAAATAAATAGTATACCATTTATTTGATAACCAGAATATATTTAACAACTACTGGAGGTGGTAATGAGGAGAAACTACTTGGAATTTAAGAGTCCTCAGGAATAGCTTCCCCTAAATTGCATCCAAAACTTGTTTGCTGGAGTCTAGAGGGTTCTCAGACCTCAAACAAAACTACCTATTTTCTTTTTAAATGTTAATAACCCGTACTGAAAGTCACATCTATCCAGAAACTAAGTGACTCGCAGTTTATACAAAATAGCAAAAGGAAAGCATTGCTGGGGGGCATTCCGTAAGGCAGCTGGCCTGAACACTTCAAAAATAAACCGTCAGGGGACCAAGCAGTTCTGGATCAAATGAAACACATTAACCAAATGAAACACAACAACCAAGAGTGATGTTGTAAACCTCCATGGGACTTTATCAAAAAATAAATAAAGCAGACGCTTTGCGGGCAACAGTTAGGGAAATTTAAATACAAATCACAGCAGTCCTGTTTATCTGCAGTTCAGGTTTCCATAGTTCCAGTTACCTGCAATTGATACTATTTGAAGCAGGTGATTCTCCTGACCAATTGTCAGAAGGTCATAGGTCAATAGTAGCCTAATATGACCCGTGCATCACAACACTTAACCTCACTAGCTTGCTTCACTCACCTCACTTCTCCTCACGCAGGCTTTTTGTTATCTCACATCATCACAAGAAGACCAAAGGTGAGTACAACACAATAAGATGTTTTGAGACACAGGGGCGCCTGGGTGGTTCAGTCGGTTAAGCTTCTGACTCCTGATTGTGGCTCAGGTCATGAATTCAGGGTATGTGGTTTTGAGCTCTGCGTGGGCTCCATGCTGATAGTAGAGGCTGCTAGGAATGCTCTCTCTGCCCCTCCCCCACTTTCTCTCTCCCTCCCCCTCCCCCTCTCTCTCTGCCTCCCCCCGTCTCTCTCTCCCTCTCTCCCCTCTGTCTCTAAATAAATATATAAATAAAAACTTTAAAAGATGTTTTGAAAGAGAGCTGATAGTCACATAACTTTCATTACAGCATTTTGTTATGTTTTTTATTATTAGTTATTGTTGTTAATCTCTTATTGTGCCTAATTTATAAGTTAAACTTTATCATAGATAGGTATGTATGTAGAGGAAAAATCATAGCATATATAGGGTTCAGTATTATCTGAGGCTTCAGGCATTCTGTGGGGGTCTTGGAAAATATACTTTCCTGATGGAGGGGGACTACCATATGTTAAATAACTTGCTGAATGAAAGTTTATTCACTTCAGTGTGAAAATGATTTCATGGTTATATAAGAGAATGTCTATTTTTAGGAGGTGCCTGCTTATGTAGTTAGAGATTAAGTATCAATATTGCTATTTACTTTGGTTCAGTGAGGGGCGCCTGGGTGGCTCAGTCGGTTAAGTGTCTGACTCCTGATTTCAGCTCAGGTCATGATCTCAGGGTTCCTGAGTTCGAGCCTCAACACTGGGCTCCGTGGTGGCATTGCGGAACCTACTTGGGATTCTCTCTGCTCCTCCCTCACGCTCTCTTTCAAAAAACATTAATAAAAAGTCTTTAAAACAGTTCAGTGAAAAACAAGTTTTTGTGTAGAGAAAGTAAATGTGGCAAGATGGTGACAGTGGTTAAATCTACGTAAAGGATATATGGATATTCATTCTACTATTAAGCTTTTCAGAAGTTTAGTAGTTTAAAAAAGCTGGGGGTGGAGTGGGGAAAGAAATCATTACTTCTAATCTTGCTGGAAATCATTTTAAAAGCAACAATGAGACTAAAAATGAAAAGCAAGCCCCATTGGCAGAGCAACCAGGAGGTATCTGAAATCCTAGGCCCAAGAGGAAAGATGGCCAAAAGTGTCAGAGGCTTTCAGGAAGACCTGGGGAGAAGTCCCTATAGCAGAGGGGTTATAAACAAACCAACACTGGCAGCTGCAAGCACCCTCTCAACACAAAAGGCACGTTCTGAAGTGAGTCTCCTCAATCCTTTGTTCACAAGGAAAGGAATGCATGTACCAGCCAGTGTCCGGAACCTCCTGCACGTGGTTTGTTCCGAGAAACAGAAGCAGAGCACACAGACAGGGAATATTTGCAAAGAAACCATCCGTCTCTACCACAGCCGGCTGTTACAGTCCTGTGACAAAACAAAATAAGAAAGATCCACAGTTGCCAGTCCTTGCCAATTAGCCTTTGCTAATTGAACTTATGAGCACAGCCCTAGATCGTGACGAATTTCACCTGGTCTGGACCTTATCCTAGCTCCTTCCCTACATGAACTTCCCATAGATTTTGGATACAAGTTCAAAGTTACAAACAGTTAAAACAAAACCCAAGGCATACCAGAGGGGAAAATAAGGATATAGCTAAAGAGATGTCAGGAGACCTCTCACCCGAAAGCAAGCCCACCAACCACACTGTTAAAGAGCAGATGAAAATTGTTTCTCCATGTATTAAAGACACTTAATGAATTCCTGGTCACAGAAACCGTGATCATGATAAATGCTTAGCGTTGTTTTAAGCTACTAAGTTTTAGGGTATTTTGTTACACAGTAGTAGAGAGCTAACACTATATCCCACTGGGCAGTTCAACCCTAACATTTAGATTATCTTCTCTACTGTACAGAAAG